GTCGAAAAGCATGTATTATAGGCTTAATAGATGGTAGTTTGCAGGAGCTAGTCTTTCCTGCGATCGTCCAGCTTGGTGGTCTGTCCCCGCTCCCGTGTAAAGATATTTTTCATCTATAGTGGTCTTTTTGTGGCAAAGGGCAGAACAAGCATCTTCCACACCCCTATCTTGTCATAGCAGTGCACAAGAGAGAAAAGTTTAGATAAGTATGGAAGTAACATCACCTGTTGTCTACTTGAAAGCCAGGGGGTGTAACAAGGTACATATCTAAAAGTTCTAATATCTGTGGATATCTGCACTTTTTGTAAAATAAAAAAAAAAGAAGAAACACTCTTCACACATAAAGCATTTCAACAAGCTGTAGTGCTTTAGGAGTGTGGAGTGTCCTTTTAAGGCCACATTTGCTCCACCACAGAAGGAGGCGACTGGTGACCGGTGCGCCCATGTAAGTTGTCAAACCATTCTAAAATGTTTTTACTACTTACCCTGGGAGAGTGCCAGGCACTCTTGGCACCAAAGCCACTGTAGTAGTTATACCTTTAAGTAATACTTAGAATCACAAGTTGCTTACCATATCTGCATTAAGATGAGGTATTCAGGTTTACAGCACATTTAAGTGGGTTGAGCCACAGATGTGTGTGGGTTCTAGCGTGCCGCATCAGAGAATCCAGCCAGTTCAGTCAAGACATGGCATTGTTTTTGCAGCTGACAAGGTACAATTATTTGCTCTGTTTTGCTTAATATCTGAGCATTAAGCAGCTGTGAGACAGCAAGAGGCGTAAAATGATAATTGCTTACTGTGTGTGTTGTACACATATTTGAAAGCAGATCAGACCATCATGAAACCTGATAGGACTGACTGTTAATAACTGTAGAGGATAAGACGGGAATGTAGGCTATGTGAGGTATGGTTTGGTGCAACAACAAGGGAGATACAATTATAGAATAGGGAAATTACTTTCTAAGACAAAGATTACAGTTGTCTTGTTTTCTTTTTTTTTAATCCGGATTAATATTCACAATTGAGGGGAAATGAGATACAAATATACCATAGCCACCCACGATAGGCATGCACCGTGTCCTCTATGGCAACCAGACTACCAGGACATTGTTCTCTGCTCTCGCAATACCTACTACCTGCTGAACCGCATAGACCCCCGATGAAACGCCATGGTATACTACAGTAACGCACAGATTCCCCTTAGTGAGGGTACTGACCTCAGAGGCTACTAGGCTGCAGTTGACATCAATAACAGGGGCATTAGACCCCAGTGCCATTATAGATGCCTAATATTTTGAGTTTTCCAGTTAACAAGTTGTCCACATATTTCACAATTTCTGCTTTTAGGGTAACGCACATCCAGAAAGCCTCAAGCACCAGTTTTCCAGTTAACATGTAGTCAACATGTATCACTGTTTTGTTACTGCCGCAATGTTAATAATTGTCTGTACTAATATAATAGCCACGCATACTTTGAAAAACTTGGGCACCAAAGTATATATGATGTTAAACTGCAATGCCAATATTTGTGTGTATTACAGTTGTGATATCGCAATATAAAGATTGTCAAAAAAACAAATATACCATAGCCACAGTTGCTATGTTTGCTGTTTGACCCATATATTATTTTATTAGGTTCAATAATAAAGCCATAAAAAAGATGAGTATTTATCTTATTTAGAAAATGTAGCAACCCTACCCATTTGGCAAAAGGTATACAATATATGCTGAAACCAAGACTAGCCACTGAATTGGGCAAAAATGCTCCAAGATTTAAAGGGACACTATAGGCACCCAGACCACTTCATCTCATTGAAGTGATCTGAGTGCAGTGCACCTAAACCCTTTAAGGGTCACTCAAGACCCCTAAACAACTTTAGCTTTCTGAAAAGACTGTGTCCTATTTTTTTCATTTAGCAAAAACTGCAGATTTCAATAGAAATTGACACTTTTATAAATTAAACTGGTTACACCCCATTGGCTTTCAAGCAGACAACAGGTCATGTTACTTCCTGGTTTCGTTAGCTAAATGCAGCTGACCTCAAGAGGCATCAATTGCGCAGAGCACCAAGACTTCTCATTGAGCTGTATTGGGAAGTCTGTGATTGGACAGAGACAGAAAGTCTGGGCGGGGTTAGAAGGGAAGAGCTTGCAAAGGCAGCAGACAAGAAAACTTTAGGTTTTGAAAACTGATTTTAGGTATATCCCCAATTAAAAAATACATAAAATGCAAACATGTTTTAATTTTGGGTATATCTCTTCCAGACAGCCAGTAGAGGTGCTTCCTGGCTTTTCTTGGAGTTTAAATCCGTGAAACAATGTTGGACATCCTCATGCTTTGCATGAGGATATCCAGTGCCTTCAAAATCCCCGTAGGAAAACATTGATTTAATGCTCTCCTATGGGGAAGTTCTAATCACCTGGTGCGTGAGCCATGGAGGCAGAGGAACACTATAGCATTAGGAATACAGTTTTGTATTCCTAATTATATAGTGTTCATTTGCGCTTTGGGATATTTAAAAACCTGCTTGACTGGTAGAAGCATTTGAATCGAGCAAAGAAGTTGGATTAGAAAATGTCAAGGATAAAAACAAGCCTACTGGAGATAGGCCAAAAGCAAGCAGGTGAAGGAAATCATTAAGAAAATGAAAGACATGCCTACGAGAGGCTATTTTAGGGAATACCCCTTTAAGAAGCATTATGGAGTTTCTTTTTGTTTTTTTCCCACAAAACTCTGAACACAATTGAATTGAAAGCCATTTGCAAATTATAAATTAAAATAGGCAAGTCGTGACAATGGCCGAAAATGTTCCCAAACCAGCTGTTGTTGCTTAAATTTTCATATTAGAATGTTAAGTGCAATTTGCAGTTTAGTGAATAAAGCCTTATGTGTTTGATGTCTCTTTTGTGGGGTTTTCATAAGTGACAAATTAAACTTGCTAAAGTCTCGATTAATATTCGTCAATGTTTGAGTAGCTTTGGTCACTCTCTCTGCATTTTTGGTAAGAAGCAGCTCAATTTTGAACATCAGTGGAATTTGACCTCTGCCTGTTACGACCTTAGGGATATTATACTGCAACTTTATCTTTCGCTGACTCTGACCTGCCTGATATTTAAATCTTTCTCAGAATACTGCATGTGCCATACAGTTTAATACACCACGTCTTTGTGCACATGCATCGTCTGATACCGGCTGTAACATGGTTACATAATGTTTTGTGCTGGGTACAGTAAGGCTTCCTCCACTGCTTGGATAAAGTTTCATCATGACAAATTATAATTTTATTTATGTTGGGATTTTTCCATGGCAGACTAGACAAAGTTGGACTTTGTGTATTGGTTTGTGTAAATTGAATGTGTTAAATAAAAAGTTTGGGGTTCACTGACCTACTGCAAGCTCCTTGTTATAACCTCAAAGATAAACAGCAAAGATGCTTGCAGCCAAGGTCTTATCTTTCTATTTGTTGTCTTTGGAATTATGAGACTGACTGATTAAAGGTATACTCCGAGCACCATGACCAGAGCTTTGAAGTGGTCATGGTGCTTGGAGTGTGTATAAAGTGATATTATGTTTTGCTGCCAGAGGTATAATGTCACTTCAGGTAAAATATGTATGATATCAGCATGCATAAGATGTTACGGACATAAATCTTATGGTGGCATGGTCTTCCTTTTCGTGCCTCCCTAAACCCCTCAAAATACCTGCCTTTGTGACACCCCTCATCTTACAGAAAGGAGGAGTAATATCAGAAGGTGGATTGGGCTGCATGGAGAACTTGGCCTCAGCGCAGCATTACAGGTGCCTGTGTTTTCTTTTATTTATTTTAAAGGGGAGGCAGGCCACTAAGGTTACAATAACCAAACAATATGTGTTTTATTAAAAACCAATGTGTGTTGGTTGTACTAAGACTTTAAATTGTATCTCTTTTTTTCTTCTTGCATGTTTTTCTTGTAAATCTTCTCTGGAATACCATCCACAAAAGTAACAGTAAACTGTGCACCCCTTCTTACCCATCTCAACTATTCTGGACAGTTCAACAACTAGCGAAAAAATCCTCTTCTCTATTTCTAGAATAATATAAAAAAACAACAACCTTAGCTCCCCTCTTCTCAAAAAACTTTTCAGAAAAACATTAATAACGGTTCTTGCTGCTGTGGTAAGAAAACTATTTGTCTACAATGGATACCTACAACAATCTCAATCTTTTGCCACTAAATTGTTCTATGTATTCTGCATCAATCGGCTCTAAAAAAAGCAACTCTAGGAGCCCAGTATGACAATTTTATACCATTCTGTTGAATCGAACGTGAAAATATAATTAGGGATTACGTTGTCTCTGTATATTTCATACGCCTGACACTTCTAGACACTTGGCGGAAGTACTGCCGACTAGAAGTGTCAATCCTTCCAGCTGTGGAAAATGAAGAAAGGTTCAGGCACGCCAAGATATCAACAATAAGGCAATTTATTGGAACCCACTGCCAAATCACAATGTCTCGACCTACGTGGTCTCTTGTCAATCCTTCCAGCTGTCACCAGTGACGACTGCAAGGAATTGGCTCTGTCTATGGAGGAACTCGTCTCATGCATGCGTGAGAGTACAGCAGTGACGTCGGCTTCTGGCGCTGAAGAGGACCCGCCAGAGGAAAGTGGCCATCCCCCCCAAAGCACAGGCTCAGGTAAGTAGAAGTCACCTTTATCTGCCCACCTTCCACTGGACCCTAAGCATCAATGTCACCCTAATCCAGGGCAGCCCAACAGATAGACCCCCAAATGTTGCAGAACTACAACTCCCATGATGCTTTGCATGCCTTTAGAATGACAAAGCATCATGGGAGTTGTAGTTCTACAACATCTGTGGCTCTACCTGTTGGGCAGCCCTGCCCTAATCTCTCTCGCTCTCTGTATCTCAAACAGCAGTACGTCACGTGTGGAATCATGGAATGCAGCCAGGAGCTAACATGGCCGCCTAGGGATCGGTGGGGTTCATCCACGCATGCGCGAGTCACGTGGCCACGCAGTACGGGGTAGAGAGAAGTTTGCAGCGCTAGAGACTCAAAGGAAAACATCGCTGACGGCGGAGCGGATTCTGTATGTAGACAGCGCGCCCGGTCCTCTGTCATAGCTCGGCTATAGCGCTCCCCCAGCACTGTCTGCCTGTCCCCCCCTTCCCTCATTCTGTGTGCTCCCTGTCCGGCTTCCTGCCCCCCATTGTCTGCTCATTGTGAGGCTCACACGGAGCTCTCTGTCTGCTCCACTCGCCCCTTCCCTGCAATAACCCAGTGACTCACTCTCCCTCCCTCCCTCCCACCCATATTATATTATATATTAACCTGCCCATTCTATATTATATTATATATTAACCTGCCCATTCTATATTATATTATATATTAACCTGCCCATTATATATTATATATATATATATATATTAACATTGCTCAGCTTATAGTGTTATATTCTTTAACACAATACATTGTGCCATACTGAATGCATACTCCTGTCTTATTAGGTGAATACCTGTACAATGTGCTACATTACATGACATATCACACCTGTACAATGTGCTACATTACATGGCATATCACACCTGTACAATGTGCTACATTACATGGCATATCACACCTGTACAATGTGCTACATTACATGGCATATCACACCTGTACAATGTGCTACATAACATGGCATATCACACCTGTACAATGTGCTACATAACATGGCATATCACACCTGTACAATGTGCTACATAACATGGCATATCACACCTGTACAATGTGCTACAGTACATGACATATCACACCTGTACAATGTGCTACATTACATGGCATATCACACCTGTACAATGTGCTACATTACATGGCATATCACACCTGTACAATGTGCTACATTACATGGCATATCACACCTGTACAATGTGCTACATTACATGGCATATCACACCTGTACAATGTGCTACATTACATGGCATATCACACCTGTACAATGTGCTACATTACATGGCATATCACACCTGTACAATGTGCTACATTACATGGCATATCACACCTGTACAATGTGCTACATTACATATCACACCTGTACAATGTGCTACATTACATGGCATATCACACCTGTACAATGTGCTACATTACATGGCATATCACACCTGTACAATGTGCTACATTACATGGCATATCACACCTGTACAATGTGCTACATTACATGGCATATCACACCTGTACAATGTGCTACATTACATGGCATATCACACCTGTACAATGTGCTACATTACATGGCATATCACACCTGTACAATGTGCTACATTACATGGCATATCACACCTGTACAATGTGCTACATTACATGGCATATCACACCTGTACAATGTGCTACATTACATGGCATATCACACCTGTACAATGTGCTACATTACATATCACACCTGTACAATGTGCTACATTACATGGCATATCACACCTGTACAATGTGCTACATTACATGGCATATCACACCTGTACAATGTGCTACATTACATGGCATATCACACCTGTACAATGTGCTACATTACATGGCATATCACACCTGTACAATGTGCTACATTACAGCACATATCACACCTGTACAATGTGCTACATTACATGGCATATCACACCTGTACAATGTGCTACATTACATGGCATATCACACCTGTACAATGTGCTACATTACATGGCGTATCACACCTGTACAATGTGCTACATTACATGGCGTATCACACCTGTACAATGTGCTACATTACATGACGTATCACACCTGTACAATGTGCTAGATTACATGACGTATCACACCTGTACAATGTGCTAGATTACATGGCGTATCACACCTGTACAATGTGCTACATTACATGACGTATCATAACTGTACAATGTGCTAGATTACATGGCGTATCATACCTGTACAATGTACATTACATGGCCTACCATACATGTGCCATCTGCTATATTATTTGTCATAGGGGCCCTTTATATACCTGTACTATGTGATATATTACATGACAGACTACAGGGGCCCCATATATACACCCATGCCATCTGCTATAATACCTGACATACCAGAGGGGGCCCTTACCTTTTTCTCTATAGTGTCAATGTTTGATAAACCACCTAACATGCAGAGCTATGATTCCCTGCCATCCCACCCCAGAATACCTGCCCTTGCAGCACCTTGGTTTTTTACCGTGATTTTACTGTGCTCACACCCCCTTGTTTATTAACCCAGAGTTCCCATGCTCACAGCCTTCCTTGTTTATTGACTCAGAGCTCGTGTCATGCTCCTCCTTGTTTATTGACTCAGAGCTCCTGTGTCATGCCCTCCCTCCCCCAAGTTATTGACCCAATGCTCCTGCGTCATGCCCCCCCCCCCCATTTTTCTTTTTAATTTTTTTTTTTTATCAATAACGTATTATTCACCTAACTTAAATTCCCACTTCCCTTTTAGCTTCTTTTTTTTGTGTGTTGTCTCATCATCATGTCTCCTTAAAGGACCACTATAGTGCCAGGAAAACATACTCGTTTTCCTTGCACTATAGTGCCCTGAGGGTGCCCCCACCCTCAGGGACCCCCTCCCGCCCGGCTCTGGAAAGGGGAAAAGGGGTAAAACTTACCTTTTTCCAGCGCTGGGCAGGGAGCTCTCTGCCTCCGATCCTCCTCCTCGCTCTCCCCGCCGATTCAATGCTTTCTAGGATCGCTATGCGTTTCCTCACTGTGATTTTCACAGTGAGAACACGAAGAATTCTCTAGCGGCTGTCAATGAGACAGCCGCTAGAGGCTTTGGGGGAAGGCTTAACCCATTTATAAACATAGCAGTTTCTCTGAAACTATGTTTATAAAAAAATGGGTTAACCCTAGCTGGACCTGGCACCCAGACCACTTCATTAAGCTGAAGTGGTCTGGGTGCCTAGAGTGGTCCTTTAAGGGCTGATGCGTGACTCTCATCCTTACTGTTACTCTCGTTTTCCCCTGTTCAGTTTATGACCACCCAATGCCTCTTTATGCATGCTGATCTCACTCAGTGCTGGATTGACTTGTGAGGTACCCACACTGCAATTAGTGTATCTGGTAGCATTGATGTGAAAATTAACAGTAATCTTGCTGTGACAGTGTTGAGACGTCTTTGTCTATGATCGGGTTGGATAAATTTGTAATTTGAACGGTATCTTGGTCTACTCTGCTCTATATAAAGACTTGATCTCTGTTAAAACAACAATAGGTGGCATAGGGAAATTCCACAAAAGCTTTCTAACAAATATTTAATAATTTCTTACTTTAAACAGGTGGTGGGAACATTGGCCTGCCACACCTGCACAAAAGATGATTAGAGGTATTCATTCTATTTATACAGCATATTGAATTTATTGCAAGGTTCTCTGTTACTGGAGATTAAATTAGCTTTAATGGCTATAGCTCAGCTAATGGGCAGGGCGCTCTTTACCGTTTATTAGTCTGTATATTGTAATGTATTCACCCCCACTCCCAATTGTACAGTGCTGTGGCATATGTTGGCATTTTAAAAATGCCAGTGATCAATGTTTTCGATGGGGGTTGCAGTCACATGACCGAATGTTATTTAGTTACTGCATTATGAAGGACCTTTAGTGGCTGTCAATGTGACAGCCACCGGGGGTGTGTTTAACCCTGCAATGAAAGCATTGCTTCACAAATTCAAAAATCAAGAAGTTCCTGAGTGATCCAGGGTAGCAGGGAGGTATGGGACTGTAATATCCCAAATTACTATTTATGTGAGTAGCAAAAGCCAAACACCTTCTTTTATTTTTATTTTTTTCACCGTTATTAGCACTTATAGTTGTTTGCCTGCATCCATTCATTCTGTGGTGTTTTATAGTTTTGATATTGTCTTCTTGATTTGTATAGTTTATTTAAATGTTATCTGTATCGAATTGCGTACGGTCAAGGTCTGCACTGTGTTTGTGTAACATTTTGTTTAAATTCAGCCTTCATTGATTTTCTAAAGTAATACAAAGGTTTGTGTTAGTCATACAAGACCTGGGAATTAATGGTAACATTAGACCCAGTTGAACTTTATTTAGTCTTTTGCATTTGTTATTATAAATAGCTCTGCCTCCCTGCTACGGTAGTATGAACAAACTTGTGGAAATTCTTTGTGTTTTTAAAACGACGCTGTAAGCACCATAACTACATTTCACTGATGTGACTCTAGTGTCTGGACTCACCTGATGCTGTTCAACCGTTCAGTGTTGAACTGTTTTGGAACTATTTGACACTATTTGATGGATAGTGGGCTCTCTGGAAATTACATGTGGTGTCTTATTTATTGAATAAAACTCTACAGAAATGTCCTGGGTGAATTAGTTTGGTTTGGTGTGTATTAAAAACCGACTGGACAAACCGACTGAAATAAATATTTGCTACAGTATACTAAACATTAACTTGTGGTAACATATGAACCAGCTTGGAAAACTTTAAAGGACACTCCAAACCCCTAAAGAACTTTAGCTAGCTAGAAAGTTTTATGTGTGAAGAGTGTGCCCTATTTTTGAATTAAAAAAAAAAAGAAGCAGATTTCAATAGAAATTGACACTTTTCTAAATCATACTAGATAAACCCCCTTTGACTTTCAAGCAGGCAACAGGTCCTGTTACTTCCTGGTTTGGTTAGCATATTTGCACTTAACTCAAAAGGCATTAATTGCCCAGAGCATCTGCCTTGCAAGATTTCCCATTGAGCTGCATTGGGATGTCTGTGATTGGACAGCCACAGAAAGTTTGGGCGGGGCTAGAAGAGGAGGGTTTATAAAGGCAGTAGACAAGAGAAGTGCGGTTTTTGCAAGCTGATTTTAGAAATATCCCCAATGAAAAAAAAATCATAATTAAATGCTTGCACGTTTTCTATTTGTGGTGTATATCTACTAAACAGTGATTTTTATTTATTTTGTATTTGGGCAGTAAAATATCCCTTTTAAAGGGTTACGCCAACCAACTTCTGTTTTTAAAACTGGTCATAAAGGAAGGAATCTTTATGTGCATTGTGTTTGCTTGAAACTCGGCACATGCAGAGAAATATGCACTTTTGTGCAGAGGGCTAGTTACACCCTCAGCACATTTGACTTGGGCAGCCCAGAACCCTGTTCACAAAAATGTGTGTATTTGCCATTGTCCTCTGTGTGTAACTATTACGTATGTATTATATTTTTACTTTGTGACTTTATAATTCAGATTAATATTTCAGACACTCCTCCTTACATGCACAATATTAACATTATGTCATTTATTTTAAATATTTTCTTATGGGATTAAGTTAAATATTAGTGTTTTCACATTTCAATTTCACGTTTCAATATAAATCAGTAGATATTACTTTCTCGAGACAGAGGTACTTAAGAATTTTTCTTAGACCTGCAGGGCTACTGCTCTGTAAAATGGAAACATTGAGAAACACTGGTTTAGTGGATAGGCCTCAGAGAGAATAGCTGCACTTGGGAGGATGAATTCTTATGTAAAGAAAGCTCCGACCATATCACCTTTGTCCTTCTTGCGTTTCTGGTTAAGACTTTTACTTATGCCGTATGAAGGTATTTATGGAACTCAGCAGTTCCACAAACCTGCATAACACATTACTCTTATGTCTAACTACTTCTAGACAGCAAAGTGAACACAACCCTTAGGCTTGTCTTGTACCTATTAGTATTGGTTCTAATCTTTCTTCTTAACAGGGTTGATTTTTGGTGGGATTTTCAGATACTTTTAACAAAATACAGTATTCGTTTTTTATTTTTTTTGGTATGTTCTGTTACTGTCCGTTGTGTGCCTCCAAGATGACTGGCCAATCCAATGTTCCTAATATAGGAACATTGGGGCACGTAGGCACATGCGCGGCGCTCACCATGATGCGCCTACAATTCTTTCACAGAGAATCATTGTATTAAATGATTCTCTATGGCCGACCGTGACTGCGCATGCACACAACGTCACAGTATGAGACTCCGGAAGTACGATTTCTGGATCTCATTCTCATAGTGCTTGGAGGCGTGGCTTGAAACTGCGCTTCCATAGCTTCTAATTAGCTTAATTTTGGGTTTTGGAGGGAAGGACAGGGGGACAGGACTGCAGGTACTATAACTTCAATAAGTGTCCCTTTAAGCCTTGAGCTCCACCATTTTGTCATAATTGTCAAGCATAGGAAAAATACATAAGACAAAGTAGTCTGTACTTTGTCTTGTTTTTTTTTTTTTAAGAGAAATAGATCAGAAAAGAAGAGCAGATTCAGAAAGAGAAAACAGGAGAGAGGTAAGTTTTGAGGTGAAAGCCATTTTATTCTGTTTGATAAGACTACAGCTGAGGTTTTCCCATGTCTGATCTTTTTTGCCTGCATTTTGCCATTTGGATTTGATTCAATAAAGTTTAGTGATATTCTTTTGAAATTGAAGCCTTTAGTGATGCAATAGCACATTTGACAGCATGTTACTAAAATGCAGTGTTTACCTCTGTTAATTTTAGTTTGTTCAGCTGTGTAACGGATAAGAATGAGTTTGTTGTTTCTTTGGATCATGATGCTACCCATACCTCATAGAAAGTTTGTACTGTAGCGAAAAGTTTATTTTGTGGAGTTGGAGTGCCTACATTTTGTTAGAGTACTCTAGCCGAACGATATTTCCATGAAGCAGTGTTATTTCTTGGTATGTGTATAACAGTTCCAGGGTGCAGTAGTTGTGGCATTCAAAAATTCAACATGACTTCAAAGCTTCTCATAAGACTGAGATTAGATTCAACTGTCCTGTGTTCCTCTCCATCCTTGAAGTTTTTGTTTGTTTTTATTTGAACAGTGAAGCTGGTTAACCAGAAAGTCTTAATGTACACAATGCTAATTTCATATGAACAGTATACCCATTAATATAGCTTAAAGGAATACTCCAAGCAACATAATCACTCCAGCCTGCTGTAGTGGTTATGGTATCAGGAGTTCCCTGGCGCTGTCCTAGTGTAATATATCCAACTGTTTTTTGTTTTTTTTTACAGTTTTACAACATACTCAGTCTGTCTATTCCTACAGTAGAAGGCGGAACTCTCTATTAGACCAATCTAGGACCACACTCATTGGCTGAGAGAGCATACTTGCATAGGCCTAACGGTCCAGGTTCACTTTCAGGATATACTTTAATACAACACGGACAACTGCAACTCACCACTAGTTTATCTGCTTCTCAAAACTATACTCATCAGTCCGTTGTCCATAACTAATATATTTTTGCTTCTCGTAACTTCCTTTGCTCAGTTTTGACTAAACGTGTTCTCCTTTCTGCTCCCTATTATTGGAATACCCTACCCTTCAGATGTCTCCAAGCCATCCCAACTTCAGTGTCAAACCCAAATTGCTCTTACACTGTACATTACATTAATGGGATTTATATACTGATTTCATATTTTGTTTATTGCAGTATTGTCACAAATTGATCATCTTACTATATGTATGCCCCCACACCCCTCAATTCAAATTTGGGTTGCTACTAATTAAATAACTTTTTATTGTTTTTAGTATTGATTGTGTGTGTCCTGGTTTTGTTTTGATGAGGGAGCTGTATTAGTGTATTTCAGGAGTCCTCATCATGCCAAGAAGGATGCTAACGCCTCACAAGTCTGTTTTCTCTTACTCCCGGCCCCCAAAGTGGCTAAATGGTCCAATTACCATGAACTCGGCCAGATGTGGGTACCGCGTCTTTTCCGCCAACTCCAGCGCAGTGTGTATGGAACTGGCCAAGAAAATCACAGAGTAAGTGCCTGGTAGTGGGGTAAAAGTTTATAATATAGAAGTAAGATTGCATTTTTAGGGGGGTGGGGTGCAAAATAAACTCTTGTTGGCACCCAGACCACTTTATTGAGATAGAATGGTCTGGGTGCATATAGTGTCTAACAATTAAAAAATGTAATCGCATAACACATTTTAATCAGATGACAAACATTTTTTAAAATGTACTTTAAAGGACTGTTTCCATCTGCAAAACATGCAGATGGAAGACTCCAGGTTAGCTAGATTTTTACGTCTAAACTCGAACACAGTTTTTAAGCTATGTAATATGCAGAGGAATATGTTGTTGAACCATGGAGTTAATTGCTTACACCTCCTGTTCTTTATGTTTCTGGTAATATATGTAACTTTCCCAGTACCAAGGAGCATTTTAACTTGCTAAAATGTTTTGTGTGAAGAGTGTCTTCTCCTTTATTTTTACAGAAGAAATTGGCATTTTATAAATTAACCTAATTACACCCCCTGGCTTTCAAGCAGACAACCCGTCCTACTACTTCCTGGTTTGTTTGCTCAGTGGAGTTAAACTCAAGAGGCAGCAATTGCTCAGAGCACCTGCCTTGAAAAGACTTTTCATTGAGCTGCATCGGGAAGCCTGTGATTGGACAGTCTCAGAACGTCTGGGCAGGGTTAGAAGGGGAGGGTTTATAAAGAGATCTTCATTTTTGCAAGCTGTTTTTAGATATACTGCAAATGAAAATAATTATAATTAAAAGCATGGATGTTTTCATCGTGGGGTATATCTACTAAAAATTAAGATTTATATTTTTTTTTATTTAAGCAGTGGGAGTGTCCCTTTAAACTCTTTATCAAGATTTGTCATGTGTTGGAAAAATGCATGAACCAAAGTAGTCCCTCTATTTATATTTTGAAGAGTAATAGAAGAAATAAACAGATTCTGAAGCAGAAGAGGAGAGGAAACAATAGGAGAAACACAAGTTTTATTTGACAGAATCACTTGAACTAAATCATTAATATTCATCAGATGAGTGTTTACTCCACACAGTGCCACTCCAAACATATTATTGTGAACTGCATTTCGGAGAAACAGACGTTGCGGAAGGAAGCCAGGTGGTGTCAAGTAAAAAAATATTTTACTTTAAATATTGCAGATTTATTAAACATACTGGTGGGGATGATATCAATTCGCATGCATAGCGTAGGAAAGTGACAGGCCGAATAGTTGTAAAGGTTTTTACTTTAACAAAAATTATATTTTCTGTTTTTTATTTCAGGCGACTGGGTGTAGAACTGGGAAAAGCAGTTGTTTACCAAGAAACTAATGGAGGTGAGATTAAAAAAATATTTCTCGATCTCTTCCACTTTGTGGGATTTATGAAGCTGTGTTTTTTTTCTTTTTGTTGTTTGACTTTCTTTTCACCTGCATGTGATCTACTTTTTTCAGAAACCAGAGTTGAAATTAAGGAATCAGTCCGTGGCCAGGACATTTTCATAATACAGACTATCCCAAGGTAAGTTGCCAGCTCCAGTCTTTCTGGTTTTCATTAAGTAGTATAAAATAAATAAATCACACTTTAATAGATGTAACCCCAATAAAAATGTGCATGCATTTCATTATGCATTTTTTTTAATTGCGGGTATATCTAAAACAGCACTGCAAGCCCTCCCCTTTTAACCAGGAACAGACTCTCGGTGGCTGTCCAATCACAGACTTTCCAATGCAGCTCAGTGAGAAACTTTGCTCTGTGCAGTTGCTGACTCTTGAGTTCAGCTCCACTGAGCTGATCAAACCAGGACGTAAAAGAACTGGTTGTCTGACAACCAAGGGGGTGTCATAAGGTTAATTTATTAAAGTGGCAATTACTATTAAAATCTGCACTTTTGTAAAATGGGTGAAAAAGGACACATTCTTTATGCATAAAACATTTCAGCAAGCAGAAGTGCTTTAGGGTATATACACAGGAAAAAATATTATAAAAATAAAAAACTAATAGAAAATCAAAACATAGTGAATAACTGTCTGACACTAGATAATAAATTATTCCGATTGTCCACTCAGTTATTCAGTCAAAATATGCCTTGAGAAAAACCTGCAATAGAGTGCACAAGTTATGTTCTATAGAGGTCTGGAGTGTCCCTTTAAGCAATTAGGGTATTTATGACTGTGAATTGAATACAAAAGGAATATTTTTTGTTTCCATAACCCAAATGCTTCACCATTTTCTTTGTGTATGTAGCAGAAGGGGAGAGTACCGTGATGGAAGATCCATTCACAAAAATGTTCCATTGATGAAGTCATTGCCCCGGGAGGCTTCACAATATGTTACCATACCCAGACACTCCAGGGTAAACAAAACAAGTTCTCAGACATGGTTGAGGTTTACAGCTCATAAGAAAATTGAGTTTATAGCACAAGCAAGTCTCCACTGTCGCCACCTTGTGCCTTACCTTTTGTTTTCAACACACATATTGACACACATATTTTATTTATTCTTTTTACTGGGCAAGGTACTTTATCATTGGATGTCAGCAATAGTAGTTTTAAAACATTAATAGGAGTCAGAGTGTAATGAATGCATATGTAAAAGTAACGTGCACAGAAATCAAAGTATAAATCCGACTCCCATGTTGGGAAAATAGGACCCAAATAGACAGGGTCCCCATCATCAGCAAGAGTCTGAATGCATTGCCTGCTGAGCCAGCTCCCCTGACAGCCAGATCAGTGTCTTGGAAGGGAGCTGTCACTTGATGATGGTGGGCTGTGCACTAGGGGTCTTCCACTTAAGGCTCTTGGCCCAAGTATGTGGCAACAGGTGTTGGACATCCCAGAGATCCGGTATAAATGAAATAGCTTGCAAATCCTCCGAAATCTCCCAGAACGTGAAGATAGGAGCTAGAGCCTTTTTTCCTGGGCAAGACCATCCAGTGGTCTTATGACATTCTGCAGTAGACTTTGAGGTAGGTCTTGGCCCAGCCATTTTAGCTGAGACAGCTACTGTTGGCGAATTACTTTCAACCAAATATTGGCAAACTATTTGTCCAGCTGAGTCAAAGCTTCATATGGCAGGTCTGGTTTCGGAGAAGATCAAAGTAGGATCCGCGCTAAAATGCCACAAAATTAAAAAGTATGTGTATTGTACAGACGGCACACCTACGGACAAGGGGTAATTAAAGATAGAACAGAAAACGAGAGAAAGGGCGTGCCTTTAATGCCTTTAATGTAAATATATTGTACAAATAAAATAGTATAGTCCAGATAACTTAGCAATAGTCCAGAATAGTAGAGTCCACAATGGAAAGGAAAATTCTTGCAGAGCTGCAGTGATTCGTCACGGGTGTAGACTTGTAATTTCAGTTGAACATATGAAAAAGAAACAGAAAAACGGAAATCCAATGGTGCATTATGTAAATATACTACTCACAATTTCCAGAGCTACAATCCAGCTCTGGTATGAAGGGCGTGAAGTGGAATGATCCCCACTCAAGGATATATGGAGTATAACTTGAAATATAGTAGTCCAAATGGCGGTATGGTTTTCGGCCGAGAATAAAAAGAATAAAATACATAGTGCTCACTGTATATCACTGGAGTAAAAGCGTAAAAAAAAATGAAATGTATTCACAATATATTGAGAAGACTCACTGCTCGATGTATAGCGTATGGGTGGTACAATCCCCACCTATGGATTCTTTTGGCGTCTCTTTGGATGGTAAAAAACAATGTAGTCAGGCTAAGGATAAAATAATATAAATAAAACGATAAAATAAAAAAGGAAAGTGGCAACCAAAATATTTAGAGCCGAAATCCCTTTATTATAACAAAATAAAAACTTATTAAAAACTATTTCTAGATGCGTTTCGCCTACAACAGGCTTCTTCAAGTAGAAAATAGTAAAAACATAGACCTGACATACATAGCTTTATATAGGGTACATTAATTGTATTGGAATTCAAATGTTCCCGCCAAAATGACGTAATTATGATCTTAATTAAAAAGTACATATCAAAAACGAACAATAATTATACACACCATATTTAAATACAATAGGGAGAATATTTGTACATATAAATATTAACGAGGTGCTAATATGTTAAAAACTATATAAAGTAAAAATCACGTGACGCTCGACTGGTTTCGGAGAAGGCCTGTGCGCCAGACAATGCGTTGCTCAGATGTTAAAAGGGTCAAGGATATTTGCCAAGATGACTCTCACAGGCAGCGGGGGGAAACAGAGGTCTGTCCTGATCCTCTGGCTTCATGGAGAATGATAGTGGAGAGATCGGCCGCATCTTCCACACTTGTGATGTCAGGCAAACCTAAGATAAGCCTTCAGTTTAACCCTGAAGGAATCTGCCCAGACTAGTCTGAAATGTCTTGAACAGTGAGCTTGCAGGTATATTGTCACCAGTAGCTTGCCCCCTATCTCGAGTAAATTGTAGTAAAAAAACGTAAATTGAACTTTAATCATACAAAGTAGGCCCCTGCTGGGTCTAGAAGGCCATTAACAGTGTAGGATATAATACATTTTAAATTAAATAGAATTTGCAATAAGGGAATTGTAAACATGAAATTTCTCTTTACAGGAAGTGTTTAGGAAAGCCTTGTTGTTCACGTGCAAGGAGGTCTGCCTAGAGCTGCCTAAACAAAGTGTTTTAGCTCATACATGAAAGCGAATTGAGCAGTGAGACTGCAGGGGCATGATCTATACACCAAAACCTCTTCATTAATCAAACGTTGATATGATGACTATTGCGTCCCTTTAAATTACAAATGTTAATTGTAATTTATTGACAAGTATCGCTTCTAACATGAAGGAGAAAGGAAACTCTCAAAAGCTTGTTTCTTAATATGTATACATTTTCATTATAATTTTAGCTCCTTTTAGAAAATGCAAACATTTTACTTACAATCTGCTTATAAATTGCAGTGGTAAAACTTAAAATAATGCAGTAATGTAGGTCATAATCAAAGGCATGTGAAATGAATAGGATAAAATACTCACAGAATAGGCTACTTCAAAAAGATGCTACAGAATCCAAAAATAAACAGTTGTTCATAAAAAGAAACAAACCAAAAAAAAAAGCTAAAATACCCCTTACAAAGCAGACTGTGCCAGTCACCGATATCCTCAGCTGCATCTTGCATGTATGTGACTACACTGAAGCTTTTCTATTCATGCCTGGACTTTGGGTCTGTGGGATAATTGTCAGTAAAACTGTGCCTGCTACAGTTCAGACAAGCCTTTGTTTTCTTGGGGATCATGGGAGGATGTATCTGTGGCAAGGGGGTAAACCAATCTTTTGAGGAATATAGCTCCGACTGAAATGAGAGCGAGAGAGAGCTGATAAATCTAAACGGTTCTGATACAGGGTGCACGTTTATAGTCTTCCTCTGCAAAGGTGCCTTTGTTTCGCAATTTCCTCATTCCATGTGCCTCAAAAGGGAAGTGTTGAAAACCCTGTTTAAGAATGTCATAAAATAATTACCTAGACAAAAACATTGCTTATGGACTTATTTCTGCTAAGGAAACCATTTGGGTTATCCCCATAGTGTTCATTCTTGATTTAGAAAACAGAACAAATTCATCTTTAAGAAACCATTCTACAATCTATTTCTTCAGGCATACAGATTTTGAACAAGGAGGATTATATGGCATTGATCCGAAAGATGCTTATTCATACGTGTGCACTTTGCAGTAACCGTAGACAATTCTTCATCTGTTTAAAAGTTTCTGATGAGCAGTTAACATGGCAGTAGATCGTAATTTCTTTAATATGTTGGAAAGTAAAGGAAAGTGCATGGACGTATAACTTATTTTTCAATGATAATCCTTTAACCACATCCGTGCTGTACTTACAAATTAAAAGGTCACCTTGGCCCCATAACTTCATCTCAATTATGTTTTTATGGGGGCTGGAGTCTCGAGGCACCACCTAACCTTACAGTGTTAAACCATTTTCCAGCACTTTAACACCAAAATTCTGTTACTCCTCACTCCTCCTATTAAGCTGCTCTGTTAATGGTGAAGCATTGACTTGGAGGCTTGTAACCGGCTGAGAACATCAGCTAACGCTTTCAGCCAGTCACTGCCCAAGTAGCAGCCAGGAGGCATGACTGCACAGAACTTGTTAAGCCATTTTTAAAACGTTTAAACTTCTTTAGGGTAAGATGGCGAGATGAAGTGGTTATCAAGATGTAGTGTCCTTTTAAAAAAAAAAAAAAATCCTTTAAAAATATTGGTTGCACTATACATATTATACACTAATGTGAGCATTCAAAGTGAATTTCAAATTTAAGTTCAAGGTAACAACTGTAAATAATTCTCCAAGTCAGCTATGCTTCCTGTTTGGCTTTTTTAGACTTAAATTTGATGTTCATTTCAAATTCTCGTTAATGAGTAACACTGTTAATTTTGTCCTTAACTGAAACAAATGGATGTATTTCTGAAAGGATTATCTCTCGTTATATAGCCGTCTAGGTTGCAGTGTTAATTTTGGGGGCAAATTTCTATTTAGTTGTAGTTTTAGTCGACTAAATCTTCAGTAGATTTTAGTCGACACAACTAAAATCAAATGGATTTAGTTAAAGCCTCTATCTGTCTCTTTTGCCCTTTCCCCAGCCCCTCAGTGTCTCTTTGTGTCCTCCCAGCCCCTCTGGGTGTCTCTCTCCCAAGCCTTGGTCTGTCTCTTTTGCTCCTTCCACAGCCTCTCTGTGCAGTGTTCGTTTTGGCAGCAAATTTCAATTTAGTTATAGCCCTAGTCTTTTGACTAAAATGCTGCTTTTGTCGTATTTTAGTCATCTGAATTGATTTTGTTTAAGTCTATTTTTAGTCGAATAAATCTCAACTAAAATTGTTAGTCGACAAAATTTTAAACTAGGTTGATAAAAGACTAAAGTCAATCAAGTTCATCTGTGAAAGCCCATTCTTTTATGCTATTGATCCAAAAGAAGGCAAAAAAAACACAAAACTTTTGTAGCCATTACCAATTATGCCACAAAAAGGGGGAAAGAAAATTCCTTCTTGACTCCGTAATGGCAATTGTTACTGTATAAAATGATGGCATTCCTTCGGGGCTGAGGCAAGTTGTGTAACCACTGGAATGTTGCCTTTCAAGGGCTGTTGTTCTGAACCTCTTATGTTTCAGTCATTTTCTTTCCAGTTGTAAAACTTCTGACCTTGTAGACATTTCAGCAGTCTCCTGTGAATAGCTTTGGTTTACTTGGCAAGAGTAACTGTATTCTATTTAGCTGTGCTACCTCTGCTGAATGGCTCCCTGTGACTTCACAGTGTTTATGTGAAGACAGAGCATACAGCAGGATGTACAGATAAGAATCCTAGTATTAGCCTCATCCCTCTGCTATGCACAGCTGTCATTGACTGGGGATTAGATCTGACATTATTATCTTTAGTATGGCACACAAGTACTGTGACCTTGAGATGCAATTAAAGCCGTAACCCTTTTGCTAATCGTGCAGGCCTAATACTTGATAATGTCACAAAATATGGGGTGTCCTATTAAACGAAAAAATGGAGTAAGAGAACAGTATTCCAGACATCTGCTCCATCGGAGGAGGTGTATGGGAAGAAGTACAACTTAACATAGGATAGTAACAAAACCAAAAATGAAAAACCTTTATTAGAACTAAAAAGTTGAGCCACTATATCCACCAAAGGGTCTCTAAATAGGAGAAAATAGTGTCTATATACCAGGTAGGAGGTGTAACCCTATAGGACAGATCAGGAGCGCAGAAATAAATCCACTCGGGTTAAATGTCCTTCTGACAATCAAGTGCTAGTATGGGATAGATGGAAACACAGGGGTATAGTCTGCATATCACTCAGAAAATATGTTAAACAACTCATCCAATGGATAGCAATCGATTGGAAATTTGGGTTGAGTACGCAAGAAGCAGAGTTCCTGCAAGGCAAATATTGAAAAAAAGCAAAAATGCTATAAAAAAAAAAAGATAAAAATCAATAATTCTATTAAATGGACTAGAACACACGATAAAACTTCAGAACCTTTTCCGGCAGTTCTTGTTTTATATTTATAAAGTCCTTTTAAATAAGCTACATGCTTTGCCCAGTGGTAGATTCAAGGTGTGTGTGATCCGCTCTTTTTATATGTTAGCTTTCCCATATTCTCTGCAGTTCGACAACTCCCAAATTCACTTTGTGTTTATGCAACTATTCCCAAAAACATAATTGGCCTTTGAAGTAGAACATTTCATACGGGAAAAATTCCCCATTCCGAACATACCTGGAAAGAGCTAAAAAAAACAAAAAAAAAACAGCCCTGTTATGATGTTTATATTTATTTATTTCTGTTTTTTTTTTCCTTATGCCCCTTGTTTCTTAATGATTCTAACTTCCCTTTTTGCCATTTTCCTCTATTTTTATTTCTTTTTGTATTCAATGCACTGAATCTTAATGCATGGATGCCTCCATTTTGTTCTCCTCTGTCCATGGTCTCTGCAGTTTGCCCTACTGTGGGATTCTTTTGACTGATGGTTTGTGGGTAAATTAGCTTAGGAACTGAAACAGAACTTTGCTTAAACTCCGCCACGGATCATGCTCACCATTAGAAAAGTAGTCCCTACTTTTTCTTTTTTATAATCAAAAAACAGAAATAGATAGGGGGGGGAATTAATTATAAAAGTGAAACCTGCAAAGTGACAAAGCTGCTTTAAGTATAAATTCTTCCTTAACAGGAGTTTGAGTCTTGTATTTAAGATGTCAGCTTTCTACTGAAAGTTTTACATTAAAAAAAAAAAGTACCACAAACTTTGATGTAATTTATTCATAGCTAGTTGTCATCTATGCATGTGCAAATCTATTTTTTTTTTATGATTTTAAGCTAAGGGATTTTCTGTTAACCAACACAACTTTAATGCTTTGGTTGTGAATGCTTCAGTTGATTTGTAGTTCAGATCACTCAGTGCTATTGGTGGCTATGCTGTGTACATACACTTGATAAGGAAGTATTTTTCTGATATGAGTGGGTGTGGCAATGTTATGGTGCAGCATTCTGCAAAACATGTTTTTTGTTTTTTTTTTGTTTTGTGTGCAAAAACAATTCAGATTTGAGGAAAAAAGACCAAAATGGTCAAAACCCATCAAACTGATTAATATTTTATTGGTGCTTTTATTGTATGTTGTGCTCTGTACAGCTTACTATTGAAAGCTTCACGACCAGAGATAGACACAGAATCAGTTGGCCTTCATTCTTTAGAAGATATTAAAGGGACACTATAGTCACCAGAACAACTACAGCTTATTGAATTTGTTCTAGTGAGTAGAATCATTACCTTCAGGCTTTTTTCTGTAAACACTGCTTGTTTCAGAGATAATGCAGTGTTTACATTACAGCCTAGTGATAACTTCACTGGCCACTCCTCAGATGGCTGTTAGAGATCCTTCCTGGGTCATGGATGCCTAAAATGCATCCAAACATTCAGTATCTCCTCCCTCTGCATACAGACACTGAACTTTCCTCATAGAGATTCATTTATTCAATTTTTCTCTATGAGGAGATGCTGATTGGCCAAGGCTGTGTTTGAATCATGCTGGCTCTGCCCGATCTGCCTCCTTGTCAGTCTCAGCCAATCCTATGGGAAAGCATTATGATTGGATCAGGCTACCACTTCTGCTGCAGTGGGCATGTCTAAAGGAAACAGGGACAAAGCATGCAGCTCCAGACTTGAATAAAAGTAAGATTTTACTATGTTTAGAGAGGCAAGGGGTCTCCAGGGGGGGCTAGATGGTGGTTTTAACCCTATAGGGTCAGGAATACATGTTTGTGTACCTGACCCTATAGTGCTTCTTTAATGCAGCGTAATAGAATCTTTTGCACTAACTGTTGAAGGGACACTCCAGACCCCTAAAGTACTTTTGCTTGCTGAAAAGCTTTACGTGTAAACTAAGTGTGTTAAATGTGTCAATTCTAAATTAACCTTGTTACACCCCATGTCTTTCAAGCAGACCGTAAGTCTTGTTACTTCTTAGTTGTTTACCTTGGTGGAGTTAAACTCAAGAGGCAGCATTTGCCCAGAGCACATGCCTTACAAAGACTTCTCATTGGGAAGTCTGTGATTGGACAGCCAAATAAAGTGTGGGCGAGGTTAGAAATAGATGGCTGGCAAAGGCAGCAGACACGAGTTCTGAAACTTTTGCAAGCTTATTTTAGATATACTCCCAACGTAAAAAAGGGCCTACTAAACAGTGATCTTTATAAATTTTGTATTTGGGCAACAAGGTGTCCCTTTAATGTTCAGATTTCTTATATAGTGCCTTTTTTGTTTAAAAGCTAACTTCAAATTCTTTGGGGGGGAAAATTCTATTACTTTATGTCTAACACTAACTCCAACGGGGTTACCCCCAAAAGTGATAACTGCCTGGAATTCAAAGTAATTTTTTTTTTTTTTTTAATTAGACCAAAACAGGCTTGTTAGAAAAATCTCCAAGTCCGTAAAATTTGGCAATTTTGGCCTTGCATTTGAAATTCACTTTGAATTAGGCATTATTCTAGCTTCAGTGACCGAATAATCTAAATTTTATTAAAGACAGGAGGCGAATATTTGCTTTACTTTCTTTACTGAATCCTCCCAGCAGCAAAGAAACAGTTAAACAATTGAAAACAAAATCAACCAATCAGAAGACAGTAACATGTGGCTATGAGACTCCTCCCAACTCCTATTTCTTGATGCAGCCGAAACTTGAAGTCAACCGTGTAAACCAGAAAATAGTCCGCAAAACACAAAGCGTAGTCAACCAAGTAAATGAGACATAGAGTCCACTGAAGAGACGAATCAAGGATGCCGTGAAGGACAAGAATAAACTTCACATTAGAACGAAAAGAAAGTTTGTGACAAGTAATGTGTCAATAATTATGCAATACAATATACATATATATTATGAAAACTAGAGTAATCTAAACACAGTACAATAAAACTATGATCAAATGATATACGAGGCAATTAAAAGGCATTTAAGACCATACCTGAATATTTCCAAGTGGATGAAATAAAGGGGTGGGACATAGAAAGATTTAAAGAAGCCAATGGGTGGGAAAATATTCGCCTGCTGTCTTTAATAAAATCTAGATTATTCAGTCACTGAAGCTAGAATAATCCCTAATTTTATGGCCAGACAGGAGGCTTCATATTTGCTGTTTTAACGCCTGGAGAAAAAAGCATGAGATGCAGGTAGGAAATAGAAGGTACGGAAAGTGGATTCTCGTGACCAATCAGCGGAAGATAAAGACCCCTGGTGACTAAGGCGGAGGACGCAGCCATGCCCTGCACAAAATGGGCACCAAAAGACGCTTCAACGCCCGCAAGACAAAGAAGCCATCTAATCCAACGAACAATCGTGGGACAGGACACAAGGTTAGAAGGACGAATATAAGATACAAACAGAGGTCCCGATGGAGCCTGAAGAGGGGAAATAAGTATCGCTGTAAGCAACATAAAAAGAAGGTCAATCTGGAATGTAAGGATAAAAAACAGGTGCAAAGACCCACGTCCTCTGATCGATCCTCTGTCTGTGAAGAGTTGTCTGTGATATGGGAGGGTATAATCCGAGTTCAAGGTTCAGTGGCACGAGGCCTATAGCCTGTGAAGGCAGTACTACCGGTAGCTCGGCCTCTATAGCGACTGGCCCTGCCAGAAAAATTATGAGAGCGGATCACTCTGCGCAGGCATGTTTGAGCTTTATTAAGAGAGGTGAAAACAGAAACATGTTTGTTGAGGTCTCTCATGAATTGATCACCAAACAGGCCATTAGCCTCTGGACTGAGTTCTTTAGAACTCAAATCTGCCAACTTTGCGTCAATCTTGTATGACATCTTTGTGTCGTTCAGTTGAAATGGCTACATTAGCATTGCCAAGTAAACATAAGCCCTCTGTGCCCATTCTCGTACCAAATGTGTAACCAAGGTACCGTCTTTAGAGCTTCATCAGCAAGAATAAAGATTTGTATAATGGGGCCAGCGATGTCAAGCAACTTGTTCTGAACTGCTTATAGACCCTGTTCAAGGCTTTTGCAGGGGGTCTTTACCCGAGTTGCTTAGAAAGGTGATCAGGAGAGGATCAAATTCAGGCGTGAGTGCCATCTTGTCAGGTATTGTTGGATGTGGACATTCTTCTATCATCTTACTCAGAATCTCCTTTTCAAGAGACTTGCAGAGCCACATTCTTCAGAATTTATGGTCTGATGGGACCAACTCAGCTGAGCGGGGATGTTTAATGATTCTGGGATCGACTAAGGGTTGGCCACTAGGATCTAGTAAGGTAGACTGATCCTGGTCTTTGAGGGATTAATTGTGTTAGAGGCTTGGGAAACCAGAGGCTGATTGACAAAAAACTCCTTGACATAAGGAGTATTAGCGTGTAGTGCATCAGTGGGGGATTCTTCATCAGAATACCCTGCACAGTACTCATCCATGACTTGTAGGTCGTAGTGGAATGTGGAACCCTCTAGGGGGGATCAATTATCTGTTGGCTGAGGAGGTGTGTGACAACCTCAGATTTTTAGCCGGTGCCTTGCCTTTACCGGCTGAGGCACTCTTGCCCTTCCAGGGACGGAAGCCCCTTCATGGTCAGATCCTTTTAATGTGAATCCTCAGAGTCTGAGAAACTTGGCGTCATAGGATGGTTTGGAAACCGGATTGGACTGTTCGTGGAATGCTGCTATGGCTTAGGCAAGAGGTCGGCCCTGAGGGGAGAATCTATATAATGAAGTATAAATAAAGATGTAATAACATACAATTAAAACAATATGTCAAAAAACTGAGGTACTTAAAATATACAGCACTAAGGCCAACGTAATCAGAATTGACTCACCTGGGAGGCAAGCAGCAAAGAGAGAGGAGTTGGGAGGAGTCTCATAGCCACATATTACTGTCTAGATGTCTTCCTATTGGTTGATTTTGTTTTCAATTGTTTAACTGTTTCTTTGCTGCTGGGGGGATTCAGTAAAGTAAGTGAAGCAAATATGAAGCCTCCTGTCTTGCCATTAAATTCACTTTCAGTACCTGGCAATTGTCTCTTTAGTGAAAAACCCTGTGAGCAAATCAAATGTGTCATTAAGAGCTAACCTGGAATTCTAATTCCTGAAGAAAATGGATGTGATTATTTTCATTATTTCAAATTCACTAAGAAGTAAGTTTATTTTTAGATATAGAAATGGATTGCTATTAAAGGAACACTCCAAATACCTGAAGCATTTTAGCTTCCTGAAGTGATTTGTGAGAAGTGTGTGCTTTTTTTTTTATTTTACAAAAAGAGCTAATTTCAATATAAATTGTGCGTTGTTGCATCCCTCTGGCGGTCCTGTTATTTTCTGGCAGTTTTAGCTCAGTGGAGCTAAACTCATGGGGCATGCAATTGCCAAGAGCACCTGCCTTGTAAAGACTTCTCATTGAGCTTTATTGGGAAGTCTGTGATTGGACAGACACAGAACGTGTAAGCTGGGGAAAAGGGGAGGGCATGCAAAGACTGCAGACGAGATCTGCAACTTTTGCAAACTTTTTAGGTCTATCCCACGATGAAAAAATTGAGCAATAAATGTTAAGCAATACTGATCAATCTGTTATCGCTTCAGACTAACGAAAGCTTGTCTTTGAAATATTATGTTAGTCCAATTAAAAAAATAAATCATTGCATACTGCAATAGTCTTGTATTTTTTTATTTTTTTTTCCTTCCCATTAGTGTGCTCCTTTAAGACAGTCATATGAAATTGAAATTCCTGCATAACAAAGCGTAAGTTGTACTGGTATGTTCAAAGGGACTGTGCAAAAATCCATAACTGCTTCCTTCATTCTTCGTATTACCGGTATATAGTAGAATTGAGCCTCCAATTCCAAAATACATAGAAACATGTGGTACTCACAAAATAAGTGCAAGCGCTCCTTCTCACCCAGTCTTGGGTGATAATACCACTATCCCTTCAGTGCTTTACTGCCCTCATAGTTACAGATGAGGTATTACACTACTTCTGCATTAGCCCTCTTCACAAGTTTAGGTTATGGTACCTTTTTGCATGTGTTTCATTGCATCTTGTAAGTGACTCACTACATGCAGTTATTTAAAAAAAAAACAAAAAAAACAGTTTAGTATAGGCTTATTTACCCTAAATATCTGCATATTTGCACTACTTGGGGAATAAGGCAAAGTGGAGGGGTTTGGGAGAAAGATGCCCCTGTCATTGACCTGTAAAACAAGCAAATTAGGGATAATTTCCCACTGGTTTAATTCAAATTTTTATATTTATTTTTATTTTTCTTTCTATCACTTTAATGACTTTTAGGCAATCCTGTTGTATGACAACATTGAGAGCAGAATTTTTCCTCTTTTTTACAACTGCAATTATATCATACATTTTATAATTTCCACAGGATGCCTTGTTTCTTGTCTTTTGAGATTGCACCGTTCTCAAGACTTGCCCTTTGAATATATTATATCGTGATACTAAATTCTCACGCTGTTTTCTAACCGGCAGATATGCCGGATTGAAAACACTCTTCAGCTCCTCCCCCTCCCGTGACGTAACTTCAGCCGTTCGGCCATGACGTCACGGGAGAGGCGGGCACTTGCCCTTTATAAACTTCAGGGAGTGAGGGGATCTCCTTATTACTTTTGAAAAAGGCGCCACACAGCGCCGAAACGCGCGTCAAGTTTAATGTTATTTAGAATCTTAGCCTAGTCAGCTGTACTCTTTACGTTTATTTACGAAGTTAGATTTAGATCTAGGCGGATCTCCTCTTCTACTATCTAGAGCTAGAAGCTCAGTATAGCGCCTAGTCAGTTTACTCTTTACCTTTATGCATTAAGTTGGATTTAGATCTAGGCGTTTTTTCTTTCTTTTTTCTTTTTTCTTCTTTTTTATTACACTTAGTCAGAATAATGATTGACTAGCCTAGTTTAGTCAGCCATCTTTCACTTTGCCGTCTGACTTTAGATTTAGGCGTACATTTTGAGTAGTAGCTCAATATATCTAGATTTTCTTTGCATATCTGTTACCCATATGGTTACTATTTTTTATTTTTCGTTTTGGGCAGCATGGGGCTGGGTATTTGGGGATGAGTTGCCTGTCTGAGAATCGTTTTTCCCTTCTACTTAGGAAGCGGGGGCAGATTTCGGAGCTTCTTTCTATGTACATGTAACTCTATTTAGTGCAACACTGTACACCCTGTCTTTTAAGCAATCTATCCTAGGGTACATGGGACTATGGTTATAAACCTGATAATAGTTTGCTACAAACTAGTAACATATCTCTAATACTGCACTTTTTGATCTGTATCTGCAAGCAGCCTATTAACTTTTGAACCGTGGGGCTGACTTCTATACAGATGATTTGAGGTATCTGGGTATCACCATATACAAGAGGAATCCCTGTTTGATTGTATTTCTCTCTACTTAAAACATATATTTCTGGTTCCAGTCTACCTCACTGTTAGTAGTCAGCAGTTTTTCCCGCTCGATTTTTCTACCATTCCATTAACGGATTTATATGCTTGCTACAAACTCCAGGGAATTACACCCCATCTATTCGGTGTTATCCCCACAATAGGAGTTTGATTACACTTTGTGCAGATATTCCCTGCTCACTAAGGAGCCTTTAGAAATATGTTACATTATAGATACATGTTACTTTGAATACATAAGCTCACACTTACCTATTGGCTTATAGTATCGTTTCTTCTTTCTACTTAGAATATATATTTCTGGTTCCAGTCTACCTCACTGTTAGTAGTCAGCAGTTTTTCCCGCTCGATTTTTCTACCATTCCATTAACGGATTTATATGCTTGCTACAAACTCCAGGGAATTACACCCCATCTATTCGGTGTTATCCCCACAATAGGAGTTTGATTACACTTTGTGCAGATATTCCCTGCTCACTAAGGAGCCTTTAGAAATATGTTACATTATAGATACATGTTACTTTGAATACATAAGCTCACACTTACCTATTGGCTTATAGTATCGTTTCTTCTTTCTACTTAGAATATATATTTCTGGTTCCAGTCTACCTTACTGTTAGTAGTCAGCACTTTTCCCGCTCGACTTTTCTACCATTCCATTAACGGATTTATATGCTTGCTACAAACTCCTGGGAATTACACCCCATCTATTCGGTGTTATCCCCACAATAGGAGTTTGATCACACTTTGTGCAGATATTTCCTGCTCACTAAGGAGCCTTTAGAAATAAGTTACATTATAGATACTCCGGTGTAACATGTTACTTTGAATACATAAGCTCACACTTACCTATTGGCTTATAGTATCGCCTTAGAGCGATTCATATCTGCCTGGCTGCCTCCTTTCTGTACCATTATAATCTCACGAATTATGGTCCATCCCCTCATCCCGGACCCCATGCATTGTATTTTATCTAATCTCATTTTTCAATAAAGTATTTTTTATTTTTTTCATTCATTCTTTATTTTATTTACCTTTGCTTAACCAGGGGATGTTATATATACCCTCTTAGTGGGCATACCCTTAGTTGAGTGTATTGTGAGAGATAGACGTTGGTTCTTCCCTCCATACACCCTTATCTTTGGGTACTTCTCTATTAGTGTTTTTTGTTGGGTTAACCCCTTCTATGATGCCTATTTAGTCCTTCTTTGACTCCAGGAGTGGATTGTCTCCAGTCCTGCGGTCATTGTCCTTTCTTTTTATCAAATTAGGGATAACCACACACCAGAAGGATTTGGGAATTGTTATAGACAACAAATTAGGCAGCAATATGCAATGTCAATCTGCAGTTGCTAAGGCCAGTAACGTTTTGTCATAAATAGGGGCATAAATTCTCTGGATGAAAATATAATTTTGCCTCTTTATAAATCGCTGGTAAGACCACACCTTGAATATGCTGTGCAATTTGGGGCACCTGTTTTAAAGAAGGATATCATGGCACTAGCAAAAGTGCAGAGACGAGCTACAAAATTGATAAAAGGAATGGAGCATATTAGTTACGAAGAAATGTAAAAAAATGTTAATTCCTTTAGTTTGGAAAAACGGCGCCTGAGGGGATATGATAACATTATACAAATATATTCGGGGGCCAGTACAAACCTTTATCTGGAAATCTATTTATAAACAGGGCTATACATAGGTCACACATTTAGGCTGGAAGAAAGGAGATTTCATCTAAGGCAAAGAAAAGGATTTTTTTACAGTAAGAGCAATACGGATATGGAATTCTCTGCCTGAAAAGGTGGTTTTGTCAGTCTATACAGATGTTTAAACTGAAATTGGATAAATACTTGCAAAAACATAACATACAGGGATATAATTTCTAATTAGTGGGGTAATAGCTCAAGGAGACATCTGACTGCCATTTTGGGGTCAAGAAGGAATTTTTTCCTACTTTGTTGCAAAATTGGAAGCGCTTCAGACTAGGTTTTTTGTCTTCTTTTGGATCAACAGCAAAAACATATGTGAGGAAGGCTGAACTTGATGGACGCAAGTCTCTTTTTAGCTATGTAACTATGTAAGCCCAACCTGTAAGTATGTGACTGTTGTGTGCATAACATTGTGTTTTATAGTGAATTTTACATAATTTTACTTACCTGTTTCTTTCCTTACAGGGATGTCAACACTGCAATAATGGAACTTCTTATAATGGCTTATGCTTTGAAGACATCCTGTGCCAAAAATATCATCGGTGTGATTCCGTATTTCCCGTATAGCAAACAGAGCAAGATGCGTAAGAGGGGCTCCATTGTGTGCAAGCTGCTTGCATCAATGCTGTCCAATGCAGGCAAGTCTGATATTCATCATGCCATTGGCAAAGGCTGTTCATTAAATATTGTATTTTAAAATACTTTTTTCACCACCCCCACTCCCCCCCCCTTTTTTTTCTTTCTTCTTTTTTTTTTACTTACTAGTGCATGTATGTAACGTCGGTCTCTGTGCTTTCTAGATGTTCTGTCTGATTTGACCTTATGTTCATTAGTTTTGATTAATTTATTATTTGAAAGAGAAGCCCTTGTAGGCAGCTGAACCAGAAAGCTTTAACTCTTGAATTTATTGAGTGGATTAAAAGTCAAAAGAGATGGTACAAACGGACTGTATATTAGAGCAAGGCTTAAAATTTCCACTAGCCTTGGGCCCATAAACCCTCTAGCATTGCAGTGGCAAGTAACTTTTAAAGTCTGCCTAGTAGGACAAGACTCGACAGTTTAAGCCATGCATAAGACACTATTTTCTTGCATATAATTTTTAATTGCATGGATTCCTAAGTGCATAAAAAGCTGATTTTTACATTTCCTTGGGTAACCCCTACTGCATTCCTTTAAGATTTCACAGCTATATAGAGAGCTTTGTAAATGCATGGTTTTATTGGAAAACATTTAGATGCAGCATGTTATATATATTTCTATCTTCTAAGATACGGGTGTTTGACCTCCCTAATGGTAAATTACCTTTATTTAGCTGCGAAAATTAATTCCAATCTACATTTCCAAACCATCTACTCGCAATATGCAAGTATTATTCGTTTTTCTAATGGTTGTCCATATGTCAACTGTCCAAAGTAAAATCTCTATACATTTACATCAAATGGCAGATCTTTTGCTAAGCGGCTAAATATCTGGGTGTTTTTTTTAATTTGCTTTCACTCCACTCAAAATTGTGACATACATAATGTTGCTTGTCTAAATTTCTTGCCAGTCATTAAATGTCTGTACTTTACCAATTGCCAGCAATTATTACTTCTCATTTTTACTGAGAGGGGAACTTCACTATCAGATGTGCCCTTTTGGACCTATATCTCATATTGTAAAACTATTATTATTTAATTATTTCAGATGGCTTATGCTGTAGAGAAATAAATTATTAAAACTATAAAGAGATTCTAGAAAACTTAATCTAATTTGAGATCTCCTAAAAAGGCTTTGCTAACTAGGTTATATGTTAGCAGGAAGTTTACAACTCTTAGTTGTTCAAGTATATTTTATTTGACCCACCGTATGTAGTCTGCTAGAAAAACAAGATAACTCATTCCTGCAACCTTACTGTCTTCCAAAGTATCTGCAATGATGATGTAGACACAACTCATTTTATAACTATATTTACAACACTTCTATAATGTATGCATATCTTTCCGGTCTGTTTCTATTGCATTATTTTAGTTACCGCAGCTAAGGCATAGGTCTTTTTATTTTTTTACAGGGCTAACACATATTATCACTATGGATCTGCACCAAAAGGAGATTCAGGGTTTCTTCAATTTCCCTGTGGACAACCTGAGAGCCTCCCCTTTCTTGCTTCAGTACATACAGGAAGAGGTGAGAAACCCTAGTCCCTCCATGTAGAAAGCCATGCACCTGACTTTCTGTAAATGACCTACAAATTATATATATCTCGATAGTCAAAGATATGGCAGTACCTGTTTTGGACCATATTCCCACTGACTTGTATTATGTCTCTAGTGACTGGAACTCTTGGACTGAGTTGCAAATCATCACGAAGGGCAAATCTGGTATTCAATGCACTTACAAATGTGTAAGATATTTTACGGTATTCTATGTATGAATTGGTGCTTTCACAGTTCTGTCTGCATGCAGAGGGCTGACTGATAACGAGGTTGGGGGAACCTAGGCCTCAACCATGCCCCCCGAAATGAAAAAAGGATAGGCACATGCTATAGATTAAACCATGCCACCAGACCAAAGATAGCCAAGGTAGAAATAAATCAAAATCATACTGGGCACAGATATAAGGTCCAGGGCAGATTTATTGTATAGAATCCAGTTGGATCCTATCCAGTAAATCTGCCCTGAACCTTTTACCTGTGCCCTATCAAGTTTAATTTATATATACCAGTCTCTGTGTCTGTAAGTAACTGTGAGTGTTCCAAGAGGCATGTTAAGTGAGAGAGTTTGGTATTGTCAGGGTTTGGTTTGGACTCAAACCCCAGGTACTTTTTGACCCTTTCAATGCCCTTGGTGTCAGCATTGACTGATGTGGGCCGACACCACTCTCAACAGCATTTCTCCCACCTTCCCAGTGTTGAGATGTAGGATATCGTATAGACATTGACTTGAGCAGTTGCTGCAATGATAGAAGTTTTAAATGACTTGTTAGCAGATTACTTATGTCTGCCATTTGTCTTTTCAGATACAGGATTACAGAAATGCAGTCATAGTTGCCAAGTCTCCTGATGCAGCAAAGAGGTGAAATATAAGAACATAAAATAAGTCCTGCGCTCAGATTCCCACTACTCGTGGGCAACAGCAAAGACCATAGTACACATCAGCCCCAACAATAAAAGACAAAGAAAAGAGTTACTTGCACTATCCCAAATCCCTATGCATATTTAAATAACTTGAGGTTTTTGGTATCTCTCCAGTGGCCGTTAGATGTAAGCTCCCCTGCCACGTCAAGGCAAACCTCTTAGGGTAGTCCTACACTAACAATTCACCTTGCTTCCTTCAGTGTGACATGACAGTGTAATTCTCTACTTCCTGGATCCTTGACAATTTTTATTTATTTTGAATTTGCCAGATAATATTAAAGACTCACTCCAGATTCTTAAAGCACTTAGCTTGCTGAAGTGCTTTTGGTTTTAAGTGTCCCCTTTTTGTAAACTGCAAAATAAAAGTGAAAATTTTAATAGAAATTGAAAAATGTGTAAATTAACCTTTTTACATCCTCCCTGGCTGTCAGTTGGAAAAAAGTTCCTGTTACTTACTGGGTTGGTTAGCTCAGTGGAGCTAACCTCAAGATGCAGTAAATTGCCCATAGCACTTGTCTTGCAAAGACTTTTCATTGAGCTGCATTGGGAAGTCTGTGATTGGTTAGCCACTGAAATTCTGGGTGGGGTTAGAATGGGAAAGCTCCAAAGGCAGCAGACCAGAGATCTGTCGTTTTTGCAACCTGTATTTAGGTAGACCCCCAATAAATAAATGCATAATTACCCTTGTTACATAACCTCCGGCTGTCAATCAGACAACGTGTCCTGTTATTTCCAGGCTGTTTAGCTCCGTGGAGCTAAACTCAAGAAGCAGTAAATTGCCAGTTGTGTCTTTATACTAGACTATAAGCTCGTCTGAACAGGGTCCTCGTCTACCTATTGTTCCGGTAGCATTTTGTAATTGCCTCGTTTATTGTTAAATCTTCCACTTTCATAATATTGTAAGGCGCTGCAGAATAATTTGGCGCTATATAAATACCAATAATAATAATTATAATAATGCATGTTTTTCATATCTGCTTAACAATGATTTATTTATTTTAATTTAGGGGGGGGGGGGGCAGTGAAGTTTTTCTTTCATTGAATATTATTGAATTGCTGACTCTGGTGGAGCAGAGACACATTCATTTTTTTTTATTTTAAAACCCTACAGCTCTTTCATGTACAGGGCAATCTCATCCTGTGATGGTCTGGGAGGGCTCCTGCATGCTCTCTCAATATCAAAGTAATACCATATGAGTGACTGTACATTTGGCATTCCTTCCATAGTGCTGTACGTGAGCATGGCACTGTGAAGGCTAGATTAATTTACATTGCATACTTCGGCTGTGTTGGGACAGCCAGACAGCTAATCGGATTGATATTAAAAATCTAAACTGCAAAGCATAGCAAACTTTCATTTAGCCATCAGGATGAACTAAAATCTCACAAGTGACATTGCACTGTGACCACTGGAAGCGTCACGTTCGTGAGAAACCAATTTATCAAACCGCATCTCTCAAAACCATTTTACAGGGCACAGTCTTATGCTGAACGCCTTCGCCTCGGGCTTGCAGTGATTCACGGGGAAGCTCAGTGCGCAGAGCTTGACATGGCCGATGGGCGCCACTCTCCACCTACTGTGAAGAATACTACCGTACATCCAGGACTGGGGATCCCTAGTGAGTTAACAATTTTTGGGGGGGATTCTCATGGTAGCAGCCATGGTCTGAATATTTCACATCTTTACTTATTCACATTTAAAAGAGAACTTTTTGTGGTATATATGTTACATGCTGATTTGTGAATCTGTATTGGCAGTAAGCATTTACATTAAGATTAAGTTTAATGTAGTAATAGAATTTCTCTTTTCGTATATAATCTATTATGTTAAACAGAAAAGTTAATTTAAAGGGCAGCTACTAAAAAAAATCCATATTCAATGTTAAAGAAAAATATTTTATAATGCAATATCTTTTCACCCCTTTTCAGCTCTTGAGGTTGGGTGGGGAGGAAAGATAGTTTAGGAAAAATTGTTAATCCGAATACATACGTTAAAATTAGATAAATCACAATACATTATTTCTGGTGCAATACTTTAATATTTGATTTAAAAAAATAAACAGATACATGAATGGAAAACAGAACAATAAGGATGCATGGGTAATGATTGGGAGCTAAATGTTTGCTTAGGCAGCCAGTCACATTTTTCCTTCAACTCTAAGCCCTGTGTTAAAGGTATACCGTATTTTTTTTACAGACTTAAACTCTAAGACTGTAAATTATTTTTATTTTATTTATTCATTGTGAAAGTTTTTTAAAAGGACACTATATAGTGCCCCATAACTTTGTATATTTTTGCCCTTAAATTGTTAGTTTTCCACATTTCAGGGCCCCCTTTTTAGTTATTTTAAAAACGTAGATTAAAAAAACAAACCCTTTAATAAACTGTAATCCAGCGCCATGAGAACCTAGTCTTTGCTGATGTCATCAAGCTTGATGACCATTTTGTCCAACCAAATGCTTCTCACAGAGAATCCAGAACATTTCAGAACATTAATTCCCTCATTGTATTTGTCCCTCATTATTCTAAATTGTAAGCTTTTCACCTACCACATGTATTTGAAACGTGTTTTGCTAGAATAGCTTGTCTTGTTTTACCTGTTGTTCAGTGCTGAAGAATGTAAGTGCTATAAAAATATTTGTAACTGAAAATCATAATGGACTGAACCACACGATGCTCCAATCAGAAGCTTTTCACAGAGAAGCGTTTAATCCAGTGCTTCTCCTAGAGAATCATTGATTGAACATCAAGAACAGAGTTTGATTTGGTTCTGGTTCTAAGGTTAACAGCCACTGGAGGTGTGTTTTGAGACCACTTCATTGAGATGGATGGCCTAGGTGTTTATAGCGTCCCTTTTAATCAATGCCTCTTTCAAAAAATTGGTTTGGTAAAAAAAAAAGTGGATTTGGTTTAATTTTGAGGACAACACATAAACTGGGTCATGGAACTTGGCACCACTATCAGTGCTACAGACGCATGTGCAAGCCTGATCCATGTATAACACATTGATTTTATTGGAATTATTCAGTAAACATTAAATTGCACTGAACTGAAAAACAGATTTAGGCAACAAGAGCTGATTAATATTGAAGATTTCCTTTAACACACTGCTTGCTCTCCGATTATAGGCCTGCCTATATTTATTGTCTAGGCTAGTTCAGTAATTCTTTGTAAAGTAATTTGGTGCTAATTCTGGTTAGTTCTCTCATTTGGATTGTAAGAAATGCAATTTTATCCAAATTGAAACACCAGAAGTTTCCCAAATGTATTGCAATGGCTGTAGATGAATACTCTTATGCAAATACATTTTAATAAAGAATGAAAAAGCACAAAGAGACTGTGAATGTGCGTATGATTGGTTATAGTAAATGTCTAGTGAGAAAATTAAAGTTGAAGCATGTGCCTATTTTGTGCTAGATTTCAGCTGCTCAAGTTAGACATGTTTGGATAATTTGTGGGTTTGGTTAATACAGGATTAGTAGATTGACACTGCCATTTCTTGAAGCTCTCGCTTATGTGCTTCCTGTGCTTTTGACATTAGGCAAACGCCAGCCTCCGTTTCCAGGCATAGAACTGCCAAGTATGGAAAGTGACATGCTATTCTGTTACGCTGTGTGCTGTGTGGATGTTATTGACTTCATAAGAACCTGTACTTTCCTCTTCTATATCTTCTATATCAAGCTCTACTCTGATACTAACAAAATTCTATTTTTTTTTTGTAAGATTTCAAATGCATGTTATCAGGACAGGCTCAGCTCAGATTTCTACTGAATGTAGTAACCTCAATTAATGGCAGATTATTAGGTCAGACTCAGTAATGCTTGGTTTGCATTTCATATACTGTAGCCGTGAAAATTATCTGGCTAGGCTCAACTGTTTCTGGGTTTGTATCAAATTTAGTATAGCTGCCTGACTCTCAATTATCGAGACAGGCTCACTTAATCCTTCATTTGTTCCTGATATATAAAATTTCTACAGCTCAGAGCAGACTTAGTCTTTACTAACATATTCAACAGTATTGGATACTGCACAGTTGTAATCAAAATGATTCAACCACCAATAAAAATCCGGTTTAAGATAACAATTTACAGACTTTCAGTTGAATAATTCTGAGACTGGAGAAATCATACGTTTTTTGTTTGTTTTTTCAGTTAAATTTGGGGAAACCACTTGAAACATTTGTTGTTGCCCTATTTCAATTGCTTTTGTTTGATTTTTTTTTTTCATTGCAAACAGCTGAACGTCTGTAAATTTTGACAATAAAGCTGATTTTTAATGGGGAGGTTGAATAATTGTCATTACAACTGAATGTATAAGAACAAAATTGTTTGTTTGTAGCTAGATTGTATGTTGTGGGACCCTGAATGTTAGGGATAGTTGAATGAATAGCATTCTTTTAAGAGATGTCTTTCAAAGCAAAGGAGAATGCCAAATCAAAGATGTAAGTTCCAAAAATATGGAGGCGCTTGGTAACGACCTTGTATATGTGAGGATAAAAATTAAGTGACATGTGGAGAGTCTACGGCCATGAAGAATAGAGTAGAAAGTAGCAGGAGCAAAACTGTAGAGTAGTGAGAAAGTTTGTCATATTGTAAGGAATTCAAATTGGAGAGTTTTGCAGAATTGATCATCAGAAAAGGGAGCAGTATTTGAGAAAGACGAACTGAGTGGTGGGAGTATTTCGTTTAGATTGGAGTTACATCAACAGATTGGGAGTAGGTTGAAACAATTAAGACAGACGATAAGATTCAATAGAGTGGATTGCACAGATAAATTTATAGGGCTCCAGGAATGAAAACACCAGCAAATAAAATCTGACTCCCAATTGGGGAATCACATAGTACACGATATTTGTCAGTAATTCAGAATAGTATCTGTACTGTAACAGATTATTGTTGCAAGCAGTATGAATAATATTTGTATCCACGTATAACACTCAATATTTTTTACAGTCTACTTGGAAAAAACAACCATTATGGACCCCTCTAAATACTAGCCATATTGTTGCATTAAAATTACATATCCCACAGATCATTTTAATATGACACTATAGGCACCAAATCAACTTTAGCTTAATGAAGCTGTTTTTGTGTATAGATTATGGCCCTGGGGCCTTGCTGCTCAATTCTCTGATGTGTAGGCATTAGATCCCCTTGTTTATACTTCCGTAGCCACACCTCCCTGCGTGTGACTTGCACAGCCTTCCTAAATACTTCCTGTAAAGAGAGATCTAATGTTTAAACTTTCTTTATTGCAAATACTGCTAAATTTACACTTTCTATTGCTCTATTAATACCTGCAGGAGCCTCCAGTGTGTGATTAAAGTTCCATTTACAGAGCAAGCGTTGAAAATGTATACAGCAAGTTAACATCTAATTAAACCATTTTTTTGATGCAGTCTGTGTTAATCAGAGCCAGGAAGGTGTTGGTAGGTCTGCGTAAACATGAACAAAAGTGATTTAACATCTTAAAGGCAGAGTATTAAACAGTGAGACCGCAGTGGCATGGTCTATACACCAAAACTGCTTAATTTAAACTAAAGTTGATTTGGTGACTATATTGTCCCTTTAAATGAACACTTTAATCACCAGAACCACTACAGCTTAATGTAGTGGTTCTGGTGTCTATAGCCTGTCCCTGGTGATTTTTCAGTGTAAACGCTGCCTTTTCAGAGAAAAGGGTTTGTTTACATTGGTCCTTAGTAAAACATCTAATGGCAGTCACTCAGACTGTCCACTAGAGTTGCCATCTAGTTCAGTGCAGCACTGGCGTTCAGCATCTCCATGTTCTGTATGGAGAAGCTCTTCTCTATGAGGAGATACTGATTGGCACAATCAGCATGCACTATAGCCTCACGATGCTTTTTTATAGGAAAGCATTGAATTGGCTGAAATCATCAAGATTGATGATCTTGGCCATGGTGACAGGGCTAGCCTCAGCGAGACTGTCGGGGCAGAAGATGTGTGTAAAATCACCTTTTCAGCTCAATCTGAGTGGGGCGAGTCACTAAACAGCCACACAAGCAAGGTCAGGCATACATGTTTCTATTTCTGACACTTTGGTGTCCCTTTAACTGAGCAATCATGAGTGGATAGTACAACAGATGAATAAAATATATATATAAAAACATGGATTAGATTTTATTCTTCTGTTTTCACCAGAGATAAAAAAAAATATTACTAGCTTACACTGGCATTTGTTACAATTTGAATCCAGAAGTGCATTTTTTTATTTTATTTTTATCATAAAAAATATGCCCACAAAACTTAGTTGCCAGTTAGACCTAGTGGGAACAGTGATTATTACAGTACAGATACAAGTGTGAATGAGTGACCAACAAGCTCATTTGGAATTTTGTCTGCTGTTTTCAGTAGTTACTTAAAACTAAGTTTTTTGGCCCGATCGGCATTATTTTAGGAGCCATTATTTCCAGGCTTGTGATGTTTGCCAAGTCCTGATGCACAGCATGCTTCTCTTGTTTTAGAAATTTTGCAACTGGTGCTCTAACAGTAATGCAGTGTACGTGTGCTAACATGCGGTGCTGTCATGCATGTACCATAATCCATGAATTGATGAAGCTAAAATAAATCACTTGTTCTTTTCTTCCTCGTTTTTCAAGTGATGATTGCCAAAGAGAAGCCCCCGATTAGTGTTGTAGGAGATGTTGGGGGAAGAATCGCTATCATAGTGGTAAGTCCTGTTTGTGATAGCTGTTCTGACCACTTGGTACGCTCCTGCACTATTTGATATATCATTTTATTACATTTAGGATGACATTATTGATGAAGTGGAGAGCTTTGTGGCGGCAGCGGAAATTCTTAAGGAGAGAGGCGCATACAAAATCTTAGTGATGGCAACCCATGGGATCCTGTCTGCAGACGCACCACACCTTATAGAGGACTCCTCTATTGATGAGGTCACATCATACATATTCTTGACCATTACTGTTTAAAGTGTCTCAACTAAAATTCTTTATTGTTCTCATTCCTTTTGTTTACTCCCTCTGTGACTCTCTATATATGTGTACATACCGTGTATATAATTTATTTTTCTGTTACTTTCTTTACGGTTACTTTTCCAATGCAATTTTCTCTACATGCGAATTATTGTATTCAGTATTTACTGTACATGGGGTTATTCATTTCTTGGGAGATAGAATTTTCTGTGCAGGCTTTTCAACTTTAAACTCCACATCTTTGTTTCCCCCTCTCCTGCTCATTTGTTCTTAACATGCCCCCTTCTCTAGCAGTAATACTTTCACCTAAATGTTATCTTCTCATCTGGTTCCATTCTATTAATCTAGAGTAGAAAAACTAATACACAAGCCTGTGTGTGTGTGTGTGTGTGTATGTATATATATATATATATATATATATATGTTAACAATGTGGCAACCTTCTCAATTAGACACTTACCATTTGTCTCATTCTAATGCTCTGCTTTTTGCTCTCCTGCAGGTTGTAGTTACAAATACCGTCCCCCATGAAGTTCAGAAGCTACAGTGCTCCAAGATCAAGACCGTGGACATCAGTCTGATTTTGTCAGAGGCCATTCGGCGTATACATAATGGAGAATCTATGTCCTATCTGTTCCGTAACATTACAATGGATGACTGAGTGTGGCTTTCCCCCTCAGCACCCAAAGGGACTGTGCGTCTTCTCTAAGCAGATAAGGCAGAATTTGCAAGGTAGTTGAAGGTGGACAGGAGTCTAGTAGCGCCTAAATTGAGCATCATCCTGTCTAATTTTGCATATACACTACGGGCACTTTCACTTTACTGTCGGATATGGGGGACCACTGTACACCCTACCAATACCGAGCAGTAGTGTAGAGCAGAAATTACGTGATTGTGGGAAGGGGTTGGGGATGTGGGAGCACAAGGTGAAGCATTAGCTGTGAAGACCAACTTTGTCCATCTAGAAGTGATTCTTTAATCTCTTGTCTACAACTTAACTATATCTAGCACTTTTGACCATGACGGGTTAGAGAAGTTGTGAGCAATCCATCAGCTCTGACATTTAATCCGCCATTACTGGCAAAAGACAGAAACCCACAAACTATATTAAGACATAGCATGCACTACGGCTGTAGCTTGTATGATTAGAGAGTCCATGGCAGTGAGTCACATAAGATTGCAGATTGCAAACGTCTTCAAATACATGAAAAAAAAATATGCTTCTGTAAACATTCATGTACATAGTTGCATATTGCGTTGGGTATGAAAAGGTGTGTTTTCATCTTGCGTATTGATAGTTGAGTACTGTATACATAGCCATCGCATGTTTCTAAGTAAAAAGTGAATGTAATGGACATATTATAATTTCGATATGTTTGTATATATCCATCTGTACAAGATACACACACCTACTGTATATACATAGATAATTGTATTTTGTATGTAGTTTGTGTGTGTATGTTTACATGACACATGCATTGTACATATATATTCCCTGTATATAAGAAGATGTTCAGGCCTGCCTCGGGTTGTGTTGTCCATGCTATCATAAAGTTTCAATGAGCCTCTTATAATTAGGACTCCCTAAATAAAGTCATTTGGCATGAACAGCCAAAAACTGTCAATGTTTTGAATAATTTTTACATTTACACAATTATTTTTTATTGTTATAGCTGTTTTGCTATGTTTATAATTAAATGCTATTTCGATGAAAAAGAGAAAAAATCCTACGTTACAGGTGCAGTGAGTTCTTGCCATGGGTAACCTATTCTTGTATAGTTATTTTGGTTTTATACACAAATTAAACATCAGGACAGGCTGAGACGGCGGTTTTAAACTTTATATGATCTGGTTGCAGGTTATCGCATGGGGGAGTTTCTCAGTATGTTTATTATTATATCTTACCGTATTGTTAGCAGTGCAAAGCATAAAATAGGGCAACAGGCTGATCATGTGGCTCATGGTATTATATCTGTACAGAAGCAGTGTTAAAGGACCACGATAGTGCCAGGAAAACGAGTATGTTTTCCTGTCACTATAGTGGTCCTTTCATACTCGTTTTCCTGGTACTATAGTGCTCTGAGGGTGCCCCCACCCTCAGGGTCCCCCTCCCGCCAGGCTCTAGGGGGTGGAAGGGGTTAAACTTACCTCTTTCTCCGGCGCCCGGCAGGGGATTCTCCTCCTCCTCTCCGCCTCCTCTCCTCCTCCTCGGCTGAATGCGCATGCTTTCCTATGGACGCTGGCGTCTTCTCACTGTGATTTTCACAGTGAGAAGCACGCAAGCGCCTCTAGCGGCTGTCAATGAGTCAGCCACTAGAGGCTGGATTAACCCTAATATAAACATAGCAGTTTCTCTGAACATGTGGCCAAACAAAAAAAAACTTTTAAAATAGCGTCTTCAGCAAATCAATTTAAGCATTACTATACATGAATAGTTACTAAACGTTCATGAGTCATTATTTCTAAGATCCGTAGGAAAAAACATGTGTGCAACATAGGTGTTCATAATATTGAGCCAATGTGCTACTGTTTTGGGGCTTGGTTTTTTTTGCTCTGAAAGTGGTCAACACTGAAATGTATATTTTTTTTAATTTTTTTTTATAATTCTTTATTTTACCATGCATGAAAAGTACAAAGCAATGCCACAACGGTGATTGCAATCGTAATGGTCAACATATTAGAGACATTTGTTTGACATAATATAACATTGCACATTTTATATATTAATGTAGATTTATCAAGAGTGGAACCAACATGTCAGCTAAGAGATAAGACAGGCGGGTTATTCATTTAGCATAAACAAGCTGGCAATATTGAGGTATTATGGGGTTGCATGCTTAACCGAAACGTATCTTGTCTGTGCGCTGCCTAAAATAACATGGCTGGATAATTTGCTGAATCTGCGCAAGTTATAAAATACAATAATACTGAACATATAGGCAACAGGCTTGTTGCTTAGAGACGTAGTGGAGGATAAGCTGATGGCTAATGCCTTAACAAGTATGACTACAAAAATCTTAGTAGATAGGCGTTAACACTAGGGACTCTCCAGACATCGAGCTCTAATGCCACTTGGTGTTCAAGGTAATTGGGAGATGCTGCATTCTGAGTAAAACAAATTAAGACTTAGGTGGTGGTAAAGAATTTGATGGACTTGTCACGCTTAAGCAATCCAGGGAACACAGTGCTAGTGCTGGGTTATAAAGCGTTATCATTCTGGAGATTAATGCATAGGCACTGGCTGCATAACTTAGATGAAATGAAGGGCTGTATGCCCACGAGTAAAGTATGTTAATGCCATTGAGAGATAAATAAAAATCACTGGATACATATCAGACTGTAATTGCTTCTACATTTAGAGTATGTGACTTAAGAACAAACTTTAGAAAGACATAAACAATACATTAGGCAAAGCGTAAGTAGCGTCTCTAAACAAGCTTGAAACGGCTGGGTTTGTAGTATATGACACAATGGCATCTGCTGGACTTGAGAGAGTCCCAGGATGTGAGCCGGTGTGCTGCCTCCCCAGCAATCTGTTATTCAACCGATGCCGGCACTTGGGAGACTGGGGGCATATTGGTCGCTGGGTTGCTCAAGCCTCTGCAGACAGTCTCTATCCAGAACAAGGATGGGGTATGCAAGGTGGCTGGATCTTTCTCGGGTTCCATGTCCTGCCACCCTCTCTCCGTGTAGCTTTTGGGCGAGATCCTGTTGCTTTCAAGTAGCCCCGATCAGCTTTGTAGCCGAGGCCATGGTGGGGTCTGTGGAGGACCTCCTGTGGGGGAGAGTCTCTGCGAGCAGGCCTACCTCCAGGAGCTTGTTGCTTGGGTGATCTCCTCTTCCGGCGCCTAAGTGTTTTACCGTTCCGCCTTGGAGGTCTCGGCATGGACCGCTGAGCTGCAGGAGGTGAGTGGTGTATCAGAGTTTCCCCTCTTTGCCTCTGCTCGAGCTTTCGCCAGAAGGCTTCATAGAGTAAGTCGATTTTCGTTAAGGTTAGCTCCGTCTGGGCTCGTGGTGCGGCGAAATGCCCGGCATCCGCCATCTTGGGTCGGCCGATAGGGCAGGCTTAATGCCACTGCATGTGCTTGTGCCTGGCCTCAGCTCCACCATCACCTAAGCTTGGCTTAGGTGATGGGGCCGGGATAACCCGGGGAGGGGGGGGGTAACTGGGTCCCATGCTTTGTCAGCTTATTCTGGTCGGAGAGGTAGCAGAGAGAACGGCCGCTTCTCCCATGCTCTCACCTCCAGGTAGGCCTCAGTAGCGGTTCGGGCTCAAACTGCTTACCGGGCGCCTATAAACCTTTGGGCTGAAGCAGAGTTGCTTGTAGGTGAACACCAGCGCATAGATTGTCGTTTGTTAACTCTGAAAATACTGATTTTGGGTTATGTCGATTCTTTGTCAGAGCTCACACTGCATGCGGCCATTCAGTTTGGCAGACAGGCCCCGCCCCTATGAAATGTATTTTAATAAAATATATGGATTCTATTTTTGTGGAGTTTGATGGTTATAACTTTTATTTCCCATGTTTGCTTATCAAACTAATAAAGCTAAATAATTAGGAAAATGTGAATATATGCATTTATTCTTTAATAAGCAACTCTTGCATATCTAATTACACACTGGTACAATAAAGGAGGTCTCCAGATAATTGCAAATTGGAAACTCTTTTTGATTAAAGAGATACTCTAGGCATCAAAACAACTTTAGCTTAATAAAGCAGTTTCAGTGTACTATAGGTCATGCCCTGCAGTCTCACTGCTCAATTCTCTTCCATTTAGGAGTTAAACTATTTCAGAAACAAGGGATTTAAGTATCGGACACTACCAACACAGTCCTAGGATTTATGGACTTGTTTGATAGTTTTTATTAGCTTGTCCTATTTTAAACAGGAGTACAACCCTCTGGTTACACTATGAAGTACTAATCCTCTCTTTAATTAGAAGAATCTTATCATACTGAAGACAAAAAGGCCAGGGAAACTATGGGTAAAGAAATAAGAAATAAACGGGTGTGGGGGGTGGATCTTATTGCAAACTTAAATACAAATTTTATTTTGATTCATTATCTATGATTATCGTTATCATAGTTTTCTATGATTATTACAGTTCACTTTGGTAAGCATTCTTAGTATCAAGGGTAGTGCAACTTAAGTGGGATACTGTTGCAATTTTCAAATCCCTTTCTTCACTATTTACTTACCAATGCAAATAACAGTGTTTTGATTTACTTGTTCTGTTTAGATCATGGGTCGTCAACCTGGTCCCTACCGCCCACTAGTGGGCGTTTCAGGATTCCAGGTGGGCAGTAGGGATTTTCTAATTTTGCGTGTGTCTGTATGTATGTGTCTTTGTAAGTGTCGTGTGTGTGTCTGTCTGTCTTTAACTGTGTGTGTATTTGTATGTATGTCTTATGTGTGTGCCTGTTTGTATGTATGTGTCTTGTGTGTGTGTCTGTATGTGTGCCTGTGTCTGTATGTATGTGTGTGTGTGTCTGTATGTATGTGTGCCTGTCTGTTATAGTGGGCTATAGTAAATAATAGTAAGTGGGATACCTAGCTCAGCCTTCCTACTGGGCATTGATATAAGGAAGGTTTAAAAAAATTTTAAAAAGGGGGGGGAAGGTGGGGAGGGGAATTTAGGAGGGAGAGGAGAGGAGCTGACGCACAGATGAGAAATCATATTATGCGCAAACAGAGAAGTTGTCTGAATATCACCGAAAGAGACCTTAGTTTGTTCCTTACGAAAATCGAACCAGATATCAAATATTTAGTCTTGCAGCATCAACCTCAAGGATCTCATTAATCACTAGTAAAGGTAATTTCAATTTACTTTGTTTTCTCATTAAACTTTATAAAGTTAAAAACATTATAAACATGCATTAAGTAGAAATAAAAAGATAAATGTACGTACATTTATTTTTTTCAAAACTCCCTCCTTTCTAAAAAATATTCCACGCTTGCGCGAAAACTGGTGGGCGGTAAGGACATTTTTTCAACCAAAAAGATACATTAGTGGGCGGTAGGTAGAAAAAGCTTGACTACCACTGGTTTAGATCATAGCCTGGCCAGCTGTGCTCTTCTATGGGTTTTATTCTAACCGGATATATAATTATTCCTTAGTGTTATTTTTCTTCCCTTTTCCCCACCCTTTTTTCTTAGTTCTTTACATATTACTACTTTATCTGGGGCTTCTTAACCCCGTAAGGACACATGACGGAAATATTCCGTCATTATTACCTTTTATTCCAGAAGTTGTGTCCTTAAGGGGTTAAGATGATGGCATATCATCCCGTATAATTTGAATATACACATATTTACTTTTTTTAACTGCTTTATTAAATGTTAAGTTCTAATTGAAAAATTATAGATTTGAGCAACCTTTTTTCATTCTTTTGTGCATGTTATCATACTGCGCTACTATAACAGCACTAATGTTGCTAGGAATGTAGGTACATACTTGTGATAGTACTTAATGATACTGAATATTTACATATAACATCATCCAGACTCAATTGTTTAGATGCTTTATAGTTTAATATGCGCCTGAACACACTTTCTCTCGAGTCCTATATGATGGTTTAGTTAGGAGTCTGGTACTGTTTATTTGATCTCTATTAAATTCTATAGGATGTTTCTTACCATGTAGTATGGAAATATAAGTCTATTTGGCTATAATACGAATCGCGACTCTTAATCAGTATATATAATTTCTGCCGACTAGCATCTTGATTACTGTATGCAGCTTGAAGACCTATCTTAAAGGACCACTATAGTGCCAGGAAAACATACTCGTTTTCCTGGCACTATAGTGACTTGAGGGTGCCCCCACCCTCAGGGACCCCCTCCTGCCCGGCTCTGGAAAGGGGTTTAAACTTACCTTTTTCCAGCGCTGGGCGGAGAGCTCTCCTCCTTCTCTCCTCCTCCTTTCCTCCTCCTGGGCTGAATGCGCACGCGCGGCAAGAGCTGCGCGCGCATTCAGCCGGTCACATAGGAAAGCATTTACAATGCTTTCCTATGGACGCTGGCGTGCTCTCACTGTGAAAATCACAGTGAGAAGCACGCAAGCGCCTCTAGTGGCTGTCAATGAGACAGCCACTAGAGGCTTTGGGGGAAGGCTTAACCCATTAATAAACATAGCAGTTTCAAATGGGTTAACCCTAGAAGGACCTGGCACCCAGAACACTTCATTAAGTCCTTTAATAATGAAAATATGGTGATAACAATTGACTAAAGTTAATGTCAAACATTTCAAGTATCACTTGATATGAAGAATTTCCCTCAATCTGCACCAACTACTTTTTAAACATCCTCATTTCTGGTTTGCCCCTGATGAGCAAGGTGAAAAACATGTTTGGTACAGCTCAGATGTAGCTTAGAGTGATTGTATTTGAGATGCAGTCAGGTTTTCGAACTTGCTTCTAAACTATTTGTTTCCTTCATATTACTGGGACTTAACACCAACATGTCTTTTTACATTATACCTTTATTTGTTTACTAATGATTTTGGATTAAATGGGGGTGTCTGCTAGTTTACACTTCATATCATAAGTAACTGATTTCTATGTTAGCAGGTCATGTTTAACCTTAGAGCCTTATGATTGATAGGGGTTCTCACTTAGACGTTTTGTTTTTGTTACTGGATTTACATACTATTTTTTTCAGAATTATAACTTTTTAAACATATATATTTTTTGCCTTATTATAAGTGCATTTGGATTATGTGAACTGAACTCAAGAAAGTGATTATAATGAAAACCTACTAAAATATAACTTTTATTAATATAGGTTGTCTTTAATAAATGATGATTTTCATTTTTTACACTATAACTGAGCTCTTTGTCTAATTATGTAAGGAAAATAATGGGTTCCAATCACTACTAAAATGTGCTACTCTCTCTATAGCTTAAAAAACTTATCAAATATAGATTTAAAAAAGACCTGTGGGTGGTCGTGTTGTGGAGTAAAGATGAAAACATGTTTGCTATAGTTTGGGAAAAGATCGTTATTAGTTATATGGTCACGAAGGGGCCATAGAAAATACCATTGTCACGGATTCGTGAGTCTATTGCTGTTATTCCTTCAATCCTCCACTAGCCATATTTCCAGATGTGCTGAATATAGTGAAAGATTTACCTTTGTGTAGAGTTTCCCCAATATTGTGGACACAACCAGTCGTATTGGGTAAAAGCAGCAATCTGAACTTTTAGGCCACACTTGGCTTTTTATGCAGTGCCCCTAGCATGGGGTTTCTAATACAAAATCACAGGGGTTTCCTTCCCACAAGCCATTGTGTTTGGGAGATAATTGAGCTCCAATTAAGCTAATCCAATTATCTCTCAAATAGGAAAACTTACATACAATTTTTACATATCACAAAAATACATTACATCAGCATCAGAACCCCACAAAAATGATATTCACGAATAGCCCCGATCTGAGCGCACAACATATACAAAAAGCGCTCAGGTTCCTTAAAACGAAAGTTATGTTTGTGCATATATGAACTGGCTGCCTGGTAGAGGTGGTATTGTCAATTTCAAAAGGGGTTAATTTGATTGTATGGGAGGTCAGACCTTACAACCTAAATCCCTTTTTGAAGCTGGGACCCCAGCAGAGCTACTCTGTAAGGTGTGAGAAGTCACACATAAGTGGCCTGGAAGTTTGGTTTCAGTATAAACTAACTCTCTCATTTGCCATATGCCTTGATTTCCTCTTAGATAAGGAGTCATTTGATATAAACAAGCATTGTGTTCCAATATCATATTCAAAAGAGACATTAATACCTATCTACAGATTAATACTCAAGCCTCATTTTTATCATATTTAGAATGGGACACGCACAATCTTCCAATCAAGCCGAAACATGATTTGCGAACAAGGGGACCCCACAGAATCTGTTTGGTAACCGAACAGAAGGGAACAATTCCATTTGAATGCAGGGAAACATTAGATGATACAAAGTATAATTAAGGAAACACGTACGAGGAGTCCATCTCCTGTGACACCCATCATCTCACTCTTACATATAAGGTCAAGAAAGATCACCAGGGAGCTCTACACCTACATGTAACAAAAGCACGTATACTACATTGATCAGCCACATCATTAAGACCACCGGCCTAATGATGTAGGTCAAAAACGGCTCTGATACCTCAAGGCATGGACTTAAAAAAAAATAATCTCTGAACGTGTCCTGTGGTATTTGGCACTAAGACATTAGCAGCAGATCCTTTAAGTCCTGCTAGTTGCGAGGTGGGGCCTCCGTGGATCGGATTTGTTATTCTAGCATATTTCCCAGATTGTCAATTGGAGATCTGGGGAGTTTGGAGGCCTTGAACCCTTTGCCATGTTCCTCAGACCATTCCTCAACAATTTTTGCAGTGATGGAAGGGTTCATTACCCTGCTGAAAGAGGCCATTGCCATGAAGGGGTGTATGTAGCCTACAACAATCTCTAGGTAGGGGCTACATGTCAAAGTAACATCCAAATGAATGTCAAGACCCAAGGTTTCCTAGCAGAACATCGTCCAGAGCATAACATTGCCTCTGCAAGCCTGCCTTCTTCCCATAATGCATCCTGCTATTGTTTCTTCCACAGGTAAATGATGCACATGCATCCAGCCATCCACATGATCTAAAAGAAAACATGATTCTTCAGACCAGGCAACCTTTTTTGATGGTCCAGTTCTGATACTACCGTCTCCATTGAAGGCACTTTCTGGAGTGGACATTGGTCATAAAAGAGACTGACATTTGCGGCTACACAGAAAACTGTGATACACTCTGTGTTCACACACAAATCTATCATGGCCAGCATTAAGTTTTTCAGCAATTTGAGCTACAGTAGCCTTCACTCACCACATGCATCAATGAGCCTTGGGCGTCCATGATCCTGACACCAGTCCACTGGTTGTCCTTCCTTGAACCACTTTTTATAGGTACTAACCACTGCATATTGGGAACACCCCACAAATTTTTGGTTTTGGACATGTTTGACCCAGTCATCTAGGCATCCCTATTTAACCCTAGACAATGCCACTCAAATATGTTTTCTTGCCCATTTTTACTGCTTCCAACACAATTCAAGAACTGACCGTTCACTTGCTCCCTAATATGTCACCCCTTGACACGTGCCATGGTAATGATGTTATTCGCTTCACCTGTCCTGGGTTTTAATGTTGTGGCTGATCAGTATATGTAGTAAAATAAAATGGTGTGGCCACTAGCGGGCCCAGGGCAACATATTAATTTCCCTCATGCAAGATCAAAGAAGCCCCTGGCACCAGAACCTGCAGTCCACAAAACATACATAATTTTGCAGATTTGGGCAAACTACCATTCTGTTGATGTACCCCAGCCATACTTGAACTTGGTAGCATAGCAATGTCAAAATGTGTGGTGGTGTAAGCCCATTCATGTTGTAAAAGCCCTCCATGTTGGGAGGGTATAGGCAGACACTATCTGTGCATTGACACTCCTCACGAGACAACAGCCTACAAATAAACAATTTGGAGCAGGAGGTATCGGTTTACTTGCCAATCATGTGACTTCATTCATCCAATCCGCTCTGTATGTGGGAGGTTTAAATAAATGTCTTCCTTAACCCCTTAAGGACATATGACGTGTGACATGTTATGATTCCCTTTTATTCCAGAAGTTTGGTCCTTAAGGGATTAAGCAGTCCAGTTTAGCTCTCCCAACAAACTCACTATTTGAGTGAAATAAGCATTGTCTGTTTATACAGATATTTATTTTTTACCTTACCTCTTTCGATTATTTTGCAACAAGGGGGCCTGACAGGCTGTTTTTGGTTAATGGTATACAGGGTGATACAAGGAACAAAAAAAAACAAATATAAACACCACAATCTTAATGAAAGAGTAGTGAAAATTACTTAACTTCAATTAATATGCAGCCTCCCGAGATCGTTATCCACAACAAACGATCTTTACAGAATACACAAAACCACAAACAGAATCGGGATACGGCTGTATAATCTATAGAGAGAACATACAAAAGCAAAATAGTGTAATACAGTATATACAATAAATGGTGTGCTGTAAATAAATGCACTCACAAGATGATGTTAAAAAAGGCATTCGTAAGGTGCCTCCCCTGATGATATGGGGGGCTAGTAATCCCCTTGCCAATGCGAAGTAGCCAATGGTACTCCAGGTAGGTAATGATCAAAATCCAATAATTTTATTTTTTTTATAAAAGGTGAAACACACCATAAAAATAAAAATTAAGAATGCAGCAATAGGTCCAATGCGTTTCGTTCAAACTAGAACTTCTTCAGGGACCGTACAATGATAAAATAACATACAATATCACAAATTGTAAAATAATACCCTTCAAAATAATCCTACTTTTTTTTTTATAATTCAGAACTTAAGAAAATCTTGATTGCAGCTAGAGATAATGAGATATAATCAAAAAAATTCGATTTTTTTTTTTGTTTCAAAAGAATCCAGTAATTCCAAATTTATTTATTTTTTTCTCCCAAAAACCCATAAACGCCTCCCTGATCCACCGGGTCGTCCCATTATTAGTGGAGTAAATTCTCTCACTGCTAATTTGTCCGCTTTTGTGGATTCTTTCCTTCAGAAATATTCTCAGGGGGCACCTTCATTTATACGTGATACTAAATCTTTTCTTCAACAATTGGATAGTATAGAGTGGGACCCCGAATACAGTTGGGCCACGTTGGATGTGACCTCTCTATATACGGTAATTAGTCATAGACTAGGACTGGAGGCCCTTGATCATTACATGTCTCAGGACATGGATTTATCTCAAGGTCAAAAGGAATTTATATTGACTTCGGTCCAATTTATTTTGGAACATAATTTTTTCTTTTTTAACGACCAATATTATCTACAGATCACAGGGATCGCCATGGGCACCAGGTTCGCCCCCAGTTATGCCAATACCTACATGAGGAGGTGGGAAGAATTATTTGTGTGGTCAGGTCATGACTGGAGGGAGAGCTTGGTGCTCTGGTGGCGTTATATCGACGATGTGATCATTATTTGGCGGGGGTCCTCAACCAGTTTCTTTGAATATGTCCAATATCTTAATTCTAACCTTTATAATTTAATCTTTACCCCGGAGTGGAATAAAAATGAGATCCATTTTTTGGATCTTGCTATTTCCTGTGATCAGGGCCAGATTCAAACAAAATGTTTTTTCAAGCCGACTGATGGTGATGGCTTTGTTCACCAACGAAGCTGCCACCATAAGCCTTGACTTAGGCGGAATTGCTCTCGGTTTCAAGATTTCCAAACTCAATCCTTCCATGTAAAAAATAAACTTCGTGCTAGGGGCTATGATAAGAACACCTTGGAAAAATAAATTCATATATTGGTCTCCTTGAACGTAATACACTGTTGGAGGACAAAGTTCCTGCGGCTGTGGCTAACACTAATTTTAAATCAGCCTTTGTCACCCAGTATAATACTGACCATTTTAAGAGCAAAAGGAGTTTTAGCGAATTCTGGCCCATTTTACAACAAGATCCAGTCTTGGGTAATTCTTTATCTGAACATCCGGTGGTGATTTTTAAAAAGAATAAAAATTTTAAAAACATGTTGGCCCCTAGTTATGCCATCAAATCAAATAGGCAAAATAAAACTGTTGTTTCAGGGTTTTTAGGGGGTGTGGTTCATGTAAAGCCTGTGCCACAGCTCTCATTGGAAGAAGTAAGGAATTTACCAGCATCGTTACAGGGGAAACTTTTAAGATCAAAATGGAGATAGGTTGCCACACGGACCATGTAGTATATTTACTGCAGTGTCCGTGTGGCAAACAAGATGTAGGTCGAACTAAACGTACCTTGAAGGTTAGATTTCTTGAACATCTAAATAACATCCGTAAGAGACTTGTTACCCATTCGGTTTCGGCCCCTTGTAGTAACTGTCCCCTTTTTTCTTTTAGGGAGTTTAAATGCATGGGCATTGAACAAGTTCTCCCATTCTGGCGTGGGGGTGAAAGGGTCAAAAAGTTATCTCAAAGGGAGACTTTTTGGATACACAGACTCAAGACCCTTGAACCCAGGGGTCTTAATATTGGGATTGATCTGGTGTGCTTTTTGGATTGATTTCTGGGGATTTTTTTCTTTTTTCTTATTCATTTTATTGATTGGTAATAGGTACAATATAGATAAGGAACAAAATCATTATTCATTATTCATTACCCTGTAGAAATTATCCATATGTAGAAATGTTGTCCGTTTTCTTATATAGATATGTGTGCTAATTAAATTATAAAACATAAAATGAGAAGTGTTTAATCTTCTGAGCGAACATTTATTATAAATAATTTTTAACACACTATTGATGTGTGTGTCACTTTAAATAGATCGTTTAGATTATCAAATTGTGTGGGTTACTGAAACATATATTGATAAAGTATATGCTGAATACTTTGTGGGTAGAGATGTCGCGAAGGCTTCAACATGGATGCTATCCAGGAGGTGGGAGGGTCTGGGAGGGAGGATCTGCTGGAGATTGGCCGGGATGTGTCAGCTGACCGGAGCTCGCTGCGAACGGTTCGTGGCGAGCCATTCGCGGGAAGTTCGCAAACGGTTCGCGACATCTCTATTTGTGGGTCATATGTGATACTTTAGTCTTTTTACATTTGAGATACTAACATGTTTTCCTTTTTCACATAGATAAATATTATATTATGTTATTTTGTTACTTTACTGGCTGTACGGCCATTTGAAGGATCACTTGTATTTTCATTTCCTGCTCTTATGGACGTGATACAGAGATTGGAACGCATATGAAACGCGGAAGTAAGAGATCGCATATACTTCCGGTTTCGTTTTTCACTGAACGCACTCAAATTTGATTCAGATAAGTGCCGAAAGTATCATCAGCTGAAAGGAGCTGCCCTAGGACCAATGAAGACCTGGCTACCTGAAAACACCCACAGCACTGACCAATGGAACACTGGGACTAGCCCTATTTAAAGGGATTGTATTAAGGGGGGAGTAGGATGTACTATATTACAATTTGTGATATTGTATGTTATTTTATCATTGTGCGGTCCCTGAAGAAGTTCTAGTTTGAACGAAAGCGTTGGACCTATTGCTGCATTCTTAATTTTTATTTTTATGGTGTGTTTCAACTTTTATAAAAAAAATAAAATTATTGGATTTTGATCATTACCTACCTGGAGTCCCGTGTACCATTGGCTACTTCGCATTGGCAAGGGGGATTACTAACCCCATATCATCAGGGAAAGCACCTTACGAACACCTTTTTTACATCATCTTGTGAGTGCATTTATTTACAGCGCACCATTTATTCTATATACTGTATTACACTATTTTGCTTTTGTATGTTCTCTCTATAGATTATACAGCCGTATCCCGATTCTGTTTGTGGTTTTGATATAAGGAACAGCCAGTACACTTTACTTGCTTTCATTTATGCTCTATTCAGACTATCCTAAATTTACTAGGCCCCCTGGTGGTTTACTTTTGTAACTCTTTTTTTTACTCTCTCAAGATTCTTTTCATTCAGGAATTGTACTGGAGGATTGGAGGAAGGCAGAGATGGTTCCTATATTCAAAAAGGGTTCAAAATCCTTGCCTGAAAATTATAGACCTGTGAGGTTAAGTTCTGTGACTGGGAAAGTATTTGAAGGGCTATTAGGGGATAATATTCAATAATTCATTGAGAATAATGTAGTAATCAGCAAAAAGCATGGTTTTACGAAGCACAGGTCATGTCAAACTAACTTGATTGCGTTCTACGAAGAAGTAAGTAGAAGTATAGATCAGGGTGTTGCAGTGGATGTGATCAACTTGGATTTTGCCAAGGCGTTTGATACAGTTCCACACAATAGGTTAGTCTTCAAACTAAAAGTAAATAGTCTAGATGAAAATTCTTGTTCTTGGGTAGAACATTGGCTTAAGGATAGAGTACAACGAGTTGTCATTAATGGTACATTTTCAAGCTGTACAAAAGTGGTGTCCCTTAGGGTTCTGTTCTGGGACCACTTCTATTTAACATGTTTATAAATGAGCTTGAAATAAGCATTGAAAGTCATGTTTTAGTGTTTGCAGATGACACAAAACTCCATAAAATAAAATGTGAGCAGAATATTGCTTTGCTACAGATGGATTTAAATAGACTGGGGGACTGGGTACTCAAATGGCAGATGAAATTTAATATAGAAAATGCAGTTATTCACGTTGGGGTAAAGAATGCACAAGCAACGTATACCCTAAATGGAAGTGAATTTGGGATAACAACACACAAGAAGGATTTGGGAATTGTTATAGATGAAAAACTAGGCAACAATGTGCAATGTAAATCGGCAGTTGCTAAGGCCAGTAAGGTATTGTCATGTTTTAAAAAGGGCATTCATTCTCAGAATCAGAATATAATTTTGCCTCTTTTAAAAAAATCATTGTTAAGACCACATCTTGAATATCCTGTGCAATTTTGGGCTCCTGTTCTAAAGAAGGAGATTATGGAAAAAGTGCAGGGGCGTGCTACAAAATTAAAGGATCACTATAGTGTCAGGAAAACAAACCCGTTTTCCTGAAACTATAGTGCCCTAAGGGTGCCCCCACCCTCAGGGTTCCCCTCCCTTGGCACTGAAGGTGTTAAAACCCTTTTAGCCACTTACCTTAATCCAACGCTGGGCTCCCTCGGCGCTGGTGACCTCTCCTCCCCTGCCGACGTCAGCTCCCGAGTAGAGCCGAATGCGCATGTGCAGCAAGAGCCACACGCATTCAAACAGTCCATAGGAAAGCATTTCTCAATGCTTTCCTATGGATGTTCTGCACGCTGGATGCAAATTTCGCATCCAGCGTCGCAGATGCGCCTCTAATGGCTGTCAGGAAGACAGCCACTAGAGGTTGGATTAACCATGCTGTTATGTTTACATGTGAAGGGTTAAAACCTGAGGGACCTGGCACCCAGACCACTTCATTGAGCTGAAGTGGTCTGAGTGACTCTAGTGTCCCTTTAATAAAAAGAATGGAACGTTTTAGCAATGAAGAAAGGTTAACAAATTTAACTTTATTAAATATATCCAAGGCCAATACAAACCATTGTCTGTAAATCTATTCACAAACAGGACTATACATACAACACAAGGTCATATGTTTAGACTGGAAGAAAGAAGATTTAGTCTAAGTCAAAGGAATGTTTTTTTGTTTTTTTTACTATAACAACAATAAGGATGCAAAATTCTCTGCCTGAAGAATTGCTGTTATCAGAGTCTGTACAGATGTTTAAACAGCAACTAGATGCATACTTGCAAATACGTAATATTCAATTATATAATCTTTCAATTGTAGGGCATTAGCTTCTTGATCCAAGGATAAATCTGCCATTCTTTTTTTTCTTGTCTGTTGCAAAATTGGAAGTGCTTCCCCCCCCTCTCTTTTGGTTTAACAGCAAAACACCGTTGTGTGGAAGGTTGAACATAATGGACACTAGTCTCTTTTCAGTCTATGTAACTACTTCTACTATTTACATATGTGTGTGTTGTGGTGCCGTTTCTATCATTTTATATGAGGGATAGGAAAATTAATATGTCCTTCCAGGCCCCCTAGTGGCCACATCATACCGTGTTTCCCCGAAAATACACCCTACCCCGAAAATAAGACCTAGCTGAATTTTCGGGGTGGGCTGCAATATAAGCCCTACCCCGAAAATAAGACCTAGGCATTGTACCTTTCGGTCCGGCGGGACTTCCTTCTTCTATGAGGAGGAGGAGGAGCGTTGCAGGCCGCGGCATCGCGCAACGTGATGACGACGTGCGCAGCGTCGTCAGTCTGCCTTCACGGATCTTCAGCGGAAGGATCCATTTCCGGGCGGTGAGGCACCCAGTGGTCGGACTCGGCGGGCAAGGAAGGCATCTGTGAGTAGATATTTTATGTCTGGGACTGAATTAATTAAAGGGGGCGGTGAATTAATTAAAGGGGGGGCTGGATTAATTAGAGGGGGGTGGATTTTTATTAAAGGGGGGTTAGGATTAATTGGGATTTATTTTAGGGTGTTAGAGGGGGTGGATTAATTATTGGATTTATTAAAGGGATTAATTAAACGGGGGTGGATTATTATTTTAGAGGGGGTGGATTTATTAGGGGGTGGATTAATTAAAGGAGGGGTGGATTAATTAAAAGGAGGGGGTGGATTAATTAGAGGTGGGTGGATTTTACAGGTGGATGAATGGGAGGGGGTGATCAATTAAAGGGGCAGATTAATTAGAGGGGGGTGGATTAATTAGAGGGGGTGGATTTATTAAAGGGGGTTGGATTAATTAAACGGGGGGTGGATTTATTAAAGGAGGGGTGGATTTATTAGAGGGGGTGGATTTAATTAGAGGGGGTGGATTAAAGGGGGTGGAGAGGGGGGTGGATTAATTAAAGGAGGGGTGGATTAATAAAGGAGGGGTGGATTAATTAAAGGAGGGTGGATTAATTAGAGGGGGCTGGATTTATTGGGGGGGTGGATTTATTGGGGGGGTGGATTAATTAAAGGAGGGGATGGGTGGATTAATTAGAGTGGGTGGATTAATTAGAGGGGGTGGATTTATTAAAGGGGGGTGGATTAATTAAAGGGGGGGTTCAAT